AGCCCTCCGTTTGGCCCTGGACGCCATGTTACCGCCCACACTGCGCCTGCGCAGCTTCCCCTAGCCGGACCTTACAGACCAGCCCATAGTAGCCAAGGGGGTGAGGGATTACGAAGAAGCTCGGAGCTGAGTGCACGCCAACCCCAATGCCCCTGCAGGATTCCGCTGCCACAATCCCTTACAGTCAGGTCCAGCTTGCAGTCCTCGCTTGCTTTTTTCTTCCTCTCTCCACCCTCTCGCTCTCCTCCCAAGGCTTCTCCTCCCCTTCGCTTAGTGGTTCAACCCATCTAGCCTCAGGTCTCACTCGGCCGCCTGGATTTCGAGGCGCATGCGCGAGCGCTCAGGTGTGCGCGCCAGCAGCCAGCTGTGCGCGCGGCCACCCCGCGGCCCTAGGCTGAGGTCAGGGGTTCTGGGGCCCGGTTCGCCGCCGCAGCCGTTAGGCTGCATGCGGAGGGGACCGCCCACCCTGTTGTCATTGCTCCTGCGGCCTCAGCAGCCTCTTCGCTGGGACTGCGCGACACCGCCCCCCGACTGGGCGCCCGCGGTATCCCAGGCCCGGTGCTGGGTACGGTCCAGCCTTTTAGCCCATTCGGGCTTCGCCAGCCCCGCGAGGTAGGTGTCGCCGCCCGCGGTACCCGTGCAGGGCCCCGGCCCTGGGCAGTGTGTGACTCCGCGGGGCCAAGGCCCCGAGGCCGCTACGGGCCTGGTCCTGTCCAGGCGGGAGGTCTGTGGCCCCTACAGCTGCACCAGTGACGGAAGGCGCCTGCCCAGCCTACCATCGCCAAACTTCTGGAGCGCGTTTCTTGACCTAAAAGTTTTTTTTTAAAGCATGGACTGCAATTAAAAATGCTTCGCGGGGCCGGGGGCGCGGTGGCTCACACCTGTAATCCCAGCACTTCGGGAGGTTGAGGTGGCTGGATCACCGGAGGTCAGGAGTTCGAGACCAGCCTGGCCAACATGGCGAAACCTCGACTCTACTAAAAATACAAAAATTAGCCGGGCGCGGTGGCTCACACCTGTAATCCCCAGCACCTTGGGAGGCCGAGGTGGGTGGATCACTTGAAGTCAGGAGTTTGAGACCAGCCTGCCCAACATGGTGAAACCCCGTCTCTACTAAAAGTATAAAAAGTAGCCAGGTGTGGTAGCAGGCGCCTGTAGTCCCAGCTACTGAAGAAGCTGCGGCAGGAGAATCGCTTGAACCCAGGAGACGGAGTTTGCAGTGAGCGGAGATCGAGTCACGCACTCCACGCTCCAGCCTGACGTCATCTCAAAAAAAAAAAAGAAAAAAAAAAAAAAAAACTTTGGGGCCAGTGGGGTAGTCTAGGTTGAAGACCCGAGCCAATTTTAATAGAAGAGTAGAGGGGACGGCGGGCAGCTGCAGAGTGGGTGAGTCTCCGCTGCCATCCCCTGTGGCAGGTGGGGATTCGGCCCAGTGCGGCCAAGTCTTTCCATTGCGAGAGAAGTGGGGGTTCTGGCTCTTTATGAGAAACACCCTGACTGTTTAAAAACCCATACCAAATAAAAAACCTCATCAACCTCAGGTTTATCCCACAGGCTACCAATTTGCCTTCTGTTGTGAAAAATACGTGGAAAGAAAATCATTAGAGAAGCCCTCAGTTTTCTGGGAATAAGATCTACACCCTTGGCTCTCAGGCCTTCAAGCTACACCACCAGCCTTCCTGCTTACAAGTCTCCAGCTTGCAGACAGCAGATCATGGCACTTCTCAGCTTCCGTAACTGCATGAGCCAATACCTTACAACAAATCCCTTTCTAGATGTAAATGTATGCCATTGGTTCTGTTTCTCTGAAGAACTCTGACCAATACACCCAATACAAAGGGGCCCGTGCTCCTTCTGTCTTGTTCCACCATCCCTAGGTTGTTCTCTGCAAGTATGAAGGGTTTGGCCACCCCATCCACATTCCAGGCAGAAAAGGGGAGGGGAGGGACCAGCATTTCCTTCTAAGTACAGAACTGATAAGTTTTGCACATCACTTCACCTTGCATCCTGTTGGCCAGAACCTAGTCGCCTCACAACCTCTAACTACACATTTTTATTTTCGGCAACCATTGCCCAGTTAATTAGGAGTACCTGTTTCTGTGGGGAGAAGGGATGAGTAAATGTTTAGGGGCAACTGGCAATCTATACCACACCTCCCAGTCCCAATAAGATGTACCAGCTCTGAATCTTGAATATTCTTTCATAAGACTTACTGCATTATGAGTCTGTTTTTACTGATTTTTAAAGTACCTTTTTACCTTCCTGTAAATATAATGATACAGGGATCATATTGCATGCCTAGTGCTGAGTACAGTTACTGTTCTAGAAAGATGTGATTTACTGATAAGATTTAACTAGACAAACCAAAAAAAGTTCAGGTGGGATTCAAAGAAGAAACACTTGTTTTCAGCCTGGTCCCAACCATTTCAAACTAGGCTGTAGATAGATGGTTTCACCTAGAATTATATCAGCAAATCCTGATAACTCTGCAAAATGAAGGCTTGATCCAGTCACTTCTTGACCTGGCCTTTGCTAAAGCTAGCACCCCTACCACAACTCTGATTTGATCACTGATGACTTTCGACTAATCTGCCATGATCCATGCGGTCTCTGTCCTTCCTTGCCGGAAAAGTCAGTGGTATTTCTAAAGTATAGATCCCATCACTGTCAATCCTATCCTAAACTTTTTAGTGGGGTCCCTTTTCTCATGAAATCCATAGCTTACCTTGTCCATTACACTTGAGCCACACTTACCCTTCTCTCCTGGGGATACTCAGGCCCCTTTCTGACCATGTCCTCACTGCTGTTGTCATTCAGATCACAAATGTCAAAATGACTCAAATGTCAGCTCCCCAGAGGTCTCCCTGGACATGGAACTAGTTATCAGCACCCCAGTCACTCTGCCAGATCACCTCATAGCACTTACTAGTTCTGAAATCATTACACACAGCCCCAGTAAATAATGCAGACCTAATTTCCTGAGGAGGATTCCAAGCTTGGGATTTGGCATCACAGCCTGAGAACTATATAGAAACACTTGTGAGAGGGCTGGTTTCTGGGATTTGAAAGCATTACAGAAATATTCTTTGAAAATATAGGGATTTGTATCTCAGAGGCTATCTACTGGGGGCTGAGTAGAGCTCTGTGGCCACAGGATTGCCTGCTTTCAAGCATTATGCTTCTGCTTTTTAAACCCCACACTAATTGCTTTCTTTGTGTGCCACAAAAGGATGTATGCCTTAGTGAAAATGCCAAGTTTTACCTGCTTTGGACCGATTGAATCAGGCCTACCTAGGTTATCTAGGATAATCTCCCTTACTTAAAGCCAGTTGATGACTTTATCTTATCTTCAGAATACCTTCACAGCAACACCTAGAGTAGTGTTTGGAAGAACAGTGCTTGGCCTAGTCAAGGTAACACAAAAGTTATCATTGCGGAAGGGTAGGCTCCTAATTTCTGTGTGAGATATATTTTGAGTAACTTCAGGAAGTGATAGGAACCATACTGCCCATTTCCCCAAATTCCCAATCTCTCTAGCTAACACCTTGATAGCAGCAATATTAGAACTTGATTTCATAAGTATTATATTTGTTCACTAGGTTTGGTGCTTAGGTACAAAACAGTTAATTTTGAGCCAATTTTCCCAAAATGCTCCATAAATATATATTCAATAGTAATTTATAAGTAATGGCACCCAAAATTGGTACATTTCTTTTTTTTTTTTTTGAGAGGGAGTGTCACTTTGTCACCCAGGCTGGAGTGCAATGGCTCGGTCTAGGCTCACTGCAACCTCTGCCTCCTGAGTTCAAGTGATTCTCCTGCCTCAGCCTCCCAAATAGCTGAGACTACAGGCGCATGCCACCACGCCTGGCTAATTTTTTTTTTTTTAGTAGAGATGGGGTTTCACTGTATTAGCCAGGATGGTCTCAATCTCCTGACCTCGAGATGATCTGTCCACCTCGGCCTCCCAAAGTGCTGGGATTATTGGCGTGAGCCACCACGCCTGACACATTTCTGTTTCAATAAATGTAGTCTGTTGATTCTTAGCAACCACTGCATAATATTTATTAAGTAACTAACTGGAGGGTCTAATGCCATTTATGGAATGATAATCTGCCTCTCAAGCAGATTTATTCTGCAGTTTCTCAGCAGCATTTATTGGTTTGTGTGTTTAGAGACAGGGTCTCACTCTCTCACCCAGGCTGGACTGCAGTGGTGGGATCACGGCTTACTGCAGCCTCCTCCTCCCAGGCTTAAGTGATCCTCCCAAGGAGCTGGAACTATGGGCACATGCCACTGGGCCTGGGTGATTTTTAAATTTTTTTGTAGAGATGGGGTCTCACTATAGTGCCCAGGCTGGGCTCCAACAATCTACCCACCTCAGCCTTCCGAAGTGCTGGAATTACAGGCATGAGCCACTGTACTTGGCCAGCCCTTGGGATGATTATAATGTGCCTTCCCCCCACCCCAATACAAGAGGAATATAGTTTTCATTGTAAAAAAAAAATTGTATAATACAGAAAGAGGTAAAGTACAAAATAGTCATTCTAATTTACCACTCAGAAATAATTACTATTGATGTTTTGGTGTATATCCTTTCATATATGTCTGAAAATTCTAAAATCATACTATTTATGTAATTCTGAATCTTGCTTTTTTCTTAACATTATTTTGTGATTAAATAATTCATGTAATTGTTTGTGAATATTTTAGTGATTTCATAGATCTGTACCATGATTTCTTTAACCGTTCTCTCATTGTTGGATCTTTACATTGTTTCCATTTATTTGTAATTCTGAAGAATTCTAGTGTAAGCATCTTTATGTTAATCTTTGGACACCTTTATGAGTATTGCTTTAGTATTCTTAGAAGTGAAATTACAGGAAGAAAAAGGATGAAGTATATAAGGCTTTGATGTCAACAAATTGTTTTCCAGGTTATCAGACTATCTTATGTTACTTGACAATATTTAGAAAACATTTAATAAGTAGAAGAGTCAATATAATTATTTCCCAAAGTGATTATGAGCTACTTAGTATATTTCTCTTGAAATGGAAAAGTTATTTATCTCCTTTAAATGTAAGATATCCATTTCTCTGTTGTTGATACAGCCCTAAATTTGCATCAGTTCTCTTCTCCGAGCCATAAATGTTTGGTATAGGACACTTGACTTTCACTAATGGCTTTCATCTGTCTTTCCAAGTGATATCAACTGCTAACATGCTCTTTCTTGGCCTTATCAGTGACAAGCGTCTTCAGAAAAAAGAAGCCCATTAGTGCTAAGTCATGGTATAGGAGGGATAGGTCTTTTCAACAAGCAATTTTTTGCCGCCTTCTTGTGTACTGTCCCCATCGGACATTGCTTAGGAAGAGTCTTTGAGATCTAATTAAGATCTGTTTCCTTGCTCTGTCACAGCGCCCTACAAGGGCCGCCAGGCAATAATGAAGGTTCTTTTACTGAAGGATGCTAAGGAAGACGACGGTGGCCAGGATCCATACATCAGGGTAAGTGGCCTGAGGCTCCTTGTCCCATAGGGTCCTTTCTGCTAAGTCAAGGGGCCTGGAGCAGGCAGGGGTGGGGTCTGCAAAAACTCAGAGGAACTAATGCAGAATAAATGGTTAATGTTTCCTTATTTTAAAAACAGCCATAGCCAACCCAGAACTATATTCTTTCATTTGCAGGAATTAGGATCATATGGACTTGAAGCCACTTTGATCCCTGTTTTATCATTTGAGTTTTTGTCTCTTCCCAGTTTCTCTGAGAAGGTAAGGCCCGACTTGACTGAGCACTATGTTAAGTGTTTGATTTTTGTAGAACCCTTGCCAGCCGAAGCCAGGGAAGGACTGTTATTACTGTCTCCTTATTTTATTCACAAACTTTAAAACAAGGCAGTATAACCTCATCTGGCTCCAGGAGGCTACTGCTGTTCAGAGTCTCTGACTGAGCCTCTATCAGCCCCTCCAGAAAGCCACCCAGACCCAGATATTGGGGCCCAGGAGAGCAGATCATGGTGAGAGCAGCAAACCTGCATTGCTCCTAGCAGTCCTAGAACCCTTTTACTCATCCTCTCATTTAATCTACCCCTCACCCCCCACTTCTGCAAAGCAGGCCAGGTAGGTGTTATTTTCCCGTTTTAGAGATTGGAGTCCCAAATTAGGCAACTCAGCTAAGACCTCTAGCAAGTAAGAGACAGGGCTGGGACTCAAACCCAGGGCTTCTGCCCACAACTTCAATTCTGCTTCCAGTGTAGGAGTGATAAAAAATTGCAGGAGACAAGCCCAGTAAAGCCTTTCAAATGTTTCAGAGTGAAAATCCAGTGCCCACAGCTTCAGGGACATCAGATGTATACAGCCGCCCCGTGCCTGGCTTAGAGTAAATGTTTGGTAGATAATATCACCATTAGTCTCTTTGAAAATCAGGGCTTCAGCGTGAATATCACCCCCTGTATATCCCCACTTCTATTACAGAGTCAGGTCAAGGCTTCCCTCCTACCTGCACCCCACTCTAATCCCAGGCTGCATGCGGCTTCCCCTCTGTGCTGCCGTGACGCTTATCACCCTGTGGTGCATTTGTCTGTCCCTGCCCTAGACTGTGAGCTTCTTAGGGGAAGTACTATGAATAAAGAGTGGACCTGTGTATCCTAAAAGTCCTGGAGTAAATAGTTCCAGGCATAGTAAGCACTCAGTAAGTGTTGGGGGATGGGTGGAAGGAATTAGTTTTCTTACTACTTTTGTGAAACATTTGGAATACTGAGTCATACATAGCTCCTTGGAAGATGTTGAATGTAGCCATCATAAAAAATGACTTTATTGCTCTTTGGTGTGCAGCTTTCTCATCCTGAAGATTATGGGGGACTCATTTTTACCAGCCCCAGAGCAGTGGAAGCAGCAGAGTTGTGTTTGGAGAAAGACAATAAAACTGAAGGTGAGGGTGGGTCTACTGTAGATGCCACTGGATGTTTATTTACAGTTGTTTCTCCTGCTGGGAGACTAAGTTCCAGAAGCAGCTGCACTTCTAAGAGAAGTGAGTGCTTAGTGGTGTCAGATCACAGACCCTGCCTTGGGAAACGGGAGACAGGGCTGCGTCTTAAACTCCCAGACAAGATGACCCTGAGAGGGACTTTCCCTATCTATTTGCTATTCACCTCCTGGGCACTCATATCTCCACTTAGAATGTATCAGGCAGCAGCTTCTTCCTCTGAAAATAGGATAAGTTCTACTTTCCTCAAAGAGAGATGATGAAAAAATCTATAAGAAAATGGTCAGTGCCACCATGTCAGGCACTTAGTGACTCAGTCATCTCTTTGACCTGTCTCCCCACTGCCTTCCCTCACCATGAGAACAGTATGAAAATGGCAGTGCCCATTGACAGAACTCTGGGTTTCAGCCTGAGCAAACACCTTCTTAATAAATGCAATTGAACAGCTTCCCAGATAACATTTATGGAGTGCCTGTTGTATGCCCGTGTAGTGAATACTTCACGTTCATGAACCATTTAACCCTAGAGAGCAGTCCAGAGGCACACAATGCCGTGATCTGATGTTACCATTGAGAAAACTGAGGCTGGGAGGGTAAGCACAGAACGAGTCCGTGCAGAGCCAGGCTCCACACTCAGGCCACCCACCTCCACAGTTACACTGATGAGCGGAGGCAGCAGGCAGAGTGGTTATTCAAGGGCTTTGGTGTGAGTTTGGCCTGGGTTTATGCAGCCATTTGGACCTTAATGAATTCCTTGACCTCTCTGAGCCTCAGTCTTCTTGTCTTTAAAGTGGGCATAATAATACCTGCATCATGGGATTATTACTTCTACTATTAGCTAGGTTGAATTTACTGAATGCTCACTCTGTGCAAGACTGTCATGAATGCTTTATCCTGTGAGATAGATATGCTTAGTATTTTCACTTGGCAGATGAGGAACCTGAAGAACAGAGGGTAAGGAACTTTCCAGGTCCCCACAATACATAAAGCACAAGTTCAGGATTCACGCTGGAGAGTCTGAGCCTTGAAGGGAACCATCCAGGACATTACCTGGAGTAGAGTGGGCATGGAGTAAGTGACAGTGGTGAGTTCTGGTTATTCTGCCTCCACATGTAACCAGGCTTCATTATAGCCTAAACATGCTACCTTCTTGGTGATTGCATACACACATTCACCTCCTATTGAAAGTCTGAGGACCTAAGAAACTCAGAACCGGCCAGGCACAGTGGCTTAGGCCTGTAATCCCAGTACTTTGGGAAGCCAAGGTGGGCGGATCACTTGAGGTCAGAAGTTCGAGACCAGCCTGGCCAACACAGTGAAACCCCATCTCTACCAAAACATACAAAAAATTAGCTGGGCATGTTGGCACGTGCTTATAATCCCAGCTACTCAGGAGGCTGAGGCACAAGAATCACTTGAACCTAGGAGGCGAAGGTTGTATGAGCTGAGATCATGCCATTACACTCCAGATGGGGAGGCATGTGTACTCTTTCCCAGTGGTGCCCTGGGTGTTTTTCTTGCAATTGTATTTTTTCCTTTTGTATATGTTTTGAGGGTAAAGATAATGAAAAAGAGGAAAACCCTAGAAAGGTCACTATAAGTCCTTCTGGTGCTTTATAATAAAATTTAAAATGTATTTTCACCGATATTTTCTTATTTTGATTCTCACAACAGCCAAAGGAATAAGCAGTAGGGGTATAGTTAATTCCAGTTACCATGATGAAGAAACAGACGAGGTGGGTTAACTGACTTACCTGGGACACACAGTAAGGGGCAGAGCCAGCTCTGTGGCAGACTTTCCGACTCCACCCGGTGCTCACTCCAGTTGTTCTGCTCCGAGGCTTGGAAAATGGTTTGTTTACATGCTATGGATAAGTTTTGAATAAGTACCATTGATATTTATGGGGTCGGAAACAAAGCGGAACTCAATCTTTGGTTACTCTTTCAGAGGGAATTTCCCTTAATGTAAAGGGTAGAGTAATAATGCTATTGAATTTAAGACAAAGTTACACTCATGACCAGATTTTAGAAAGGAAGAATATTATTTCCTTGTTTTCTAAAAATGTAATAAATGTCCAGTGGCTTTATTTTATTCATATAATCTATTTTCTCTTTGTATTTCTATAATCCATATTTAAAGATTTTGTTTCATCATAAAATGATAGTATTCTATATCAAATTGTGTTTGTTAATTGACCTGAAATTTATTATTTTTACTTTGGTGTAATGAAGAAAAGAACCCGCTCCTCTGAGATTACAGTTTGTTAACTGCTTTCAGATTTATGTATAAAATAAACCAATTGGATTTATGTATTAGACATTTAAGTTGCTTTTTTTTTAAATGACAGTGTCTTTTTTTATATGTCTAGATTTAAATTTTTTATTTCACTATGCAAATTAATTCTTCAAGTTATGTTTATTTCCTGGTACCCATTAAAATTCTTCTAGTACCAACTGTGGAAAGAAGGTAATATTTCAAGCAAGGAATACTAAAACATTTATGAAAGCAGTTTTTAAAAAATTGCCTATAAAACATGAACAATGTGAAAATGGAATTTTAGTTTGAGATGCTGTTCTTTACATTTAGTTATTAATAGTTTGCTTTGCTCACAGGTTTCTTAGGGTGAACAAGCAACCTTGGGCAATGGTCCAAATGGCTACTTTGGTATTTACAACTCACATATAATTTCATGTTTTACAGTCTGGGAAAGGTCTCTGAAAGAAAAATGGAATGCCAAGTCAGTGTATGTGGTTGGAAATGCTACTGCTTCTCTAGGTAAGGAGTCAAGGTAAAAATAAAACACCAAAAAATGGCTTAGACTTTTCATGTAAAAAAAAAAAAATTTAATTCAGTTTTAAAATATTATTTTTGCTTATTAAATTTGCAAAAATTAATTAAATATATGATGCTAATGATAAGAATGCAATGAAAGAAATATATTCAAACATTTCCAAATGTCATTAAAAATTGGTTTACATCTTTTGAGAACCACTTGGTCAGTTTGTATTCTAAAGCTTTGTTAAAATGTTTGTACCCTTTGGCCGACTAATCGCATTGTGAATATACATAATGCCACTGAATTATGGATTTAAGAAATGATTAAAATGGCAAATTTTATGTTATATTTTTACTATAATTTTTTTTCTTTTTTTTTTTTGAGATGGAGTCTCAACTCTATTGCCTAGGCTGGAGTGTGGTGGTGCGATCTCGGCTCATTGCAACCTCTGCCTCCTGGGTTCAAGTGATTCTCCTGCCTGAGTCTCCTGAGTAGCTGGGATTACAAGTGCCTGTCACCAACCCCAGCTAATTTTTGTATTAGTAGAGATGGGATTTCACCATGTTGGTCAGGCTGGTCTCGAACTCCTGATCTCATGATCCACCTGCCTCAGCCTCCCAAAGTGCTGGGATTACAGGTGTGAGCCACCACATCTGGCCTATTTTTACTATAATATTTTTAAAGGCCTAAATCTCCAGATAGTGATATTATAGTTGGTTTTTATAGTTTTCTTAATATTTTCTACATTTTTCCAAAGTCTTGTGTTTATATATTCTTTTTAAAGCATAAAATGTAAATAGTAATCATTAAAAATTAACATTAAACATTTTAAATACTTAAAACAATGCTTAGCAATTGTCATAAATTAGCCTGTAACATTGTTACAGAACAGTTCAGTTTGTCCAATGCATTTGAAAATATTAGAGGAATGTGTAATATGAGTGAAAATAGTTTAAGAATTAAAAAGCACATTTTCCAGAGAACAAAATGAGGTTGTGGAAGAAACAGTTGGGAGTTGCTAAGCTAATTAAAAGATTATTCCTACATCTTCTGAGCAGCATGACTTTTACCAAAAGCTCAGCAGATCAGCTGGGGAAAGGAAATCAGTGGCTTGGTTGCCAAGGAAACCATCTTCACTCCTGCACGTCTTCCCCCAAAAATAAGTTAAGAAATTTGCTTGTTACTTTCTTTTATCATTTTTTTCTGAATGAGAAGAGGAAAGAAAATAAACAATTTCTTTCATTCTCTATATTTCTTACCAAAAATTGAACTATCAAATATATAGTGTTAGTGTATTTGTAGATTTTCCAAACTTTCACACATTAGCTGATAAGCAAATATTTTGAGTATCACATGCCCTTCAGTTTGATTTCAGTAGCATCCCTATGCATTTTGCTGTCACTGTTCTGTCATCTGAGAAGAAAACAAGAAAAAAGACTAGGGTGATACAAGGATGAGCATCTGTGTCTTGAGACTTAGAGTGGCTGAGAGTGGACTATATCAAGTGCTCACAAGCATCAGAGTGTTGGTCTCAGTTGGGCACTCACTGGGCTCAGTCTGGTCCCTGTTTATTCGGTTGTGAAGGAAAAGGACATGTTCTAAACGCAGGGAACATATTATCAAAGGAGAGAGGAAATTAGAGATTTTGTAACTTTTAAAATTTTCTTTGAAAGGAAATCATTTTTCCTTAACATGAAAGTCAGTCACCTAACTTTGAACATTCTATTTGAGTTCACCTCTTCAGACCTAGTAATGTACAAAGGAGCTGTTTTTGAATGAGTACAGGGAGGAGGCATTGCTTGAACTCTCTGAGGTTTCTGTTCATCTAGAGTCTCAGTAGGAGCCTGCAGAGTTAGCAGAAGTTGAGCACCAACAGCTGGGAGGAGACCAGGCCCAATGTATTAGTCATCTTTTGCTGTGTAACAAATTACTCCAAAACTTACTAGCTAGAAACAAGCATTTATCATCTCATTGTTTCTGTGGGCCAGAATCTGGGCATGCCTTAGTGGGTTCCTTTGGCTGAGATCTGTCACCAGGCCATAGTCAAGTTTGATTTGGGGAGGGTTTGCTTCCAAAATCATTCACATAGCTGTCAGTGGGCCTCAGAAGATCTGCTTCCCAGCTCACTCACACAGGCCTCTCAAGAGGGCTACCAGCGACATGGCAGCTGGCTTCCCCTGTCACAAGGCAATCCAAGAGGGCAAGAGAGCACCTACCACTGAAGCCACAGTCTTTTTATGACCTAATCTTGGAAGTGACATCCATCTCTTCCGCTATCTTCTCTTTGCTTGAATCAAGTAAGTCCAACCCACACTCAAGCCAGAGGGAGCATGGATCACGGGGATCACTGGGAGCCACTTTCCAAAGCCCAGGAGCCCTCTGGTGAAGAGCTGCCCCTGGTTCCCCAGAGCCTAGGAATCAGGTTAGGAAACTTGAACATTGAAGCAAAGAGAAAATAGACATTTTTCTTGAAGTAGAAATGAAAACAAGGGTCCAGTGAATAGCAAGGAATCTCGGTATGGAAGTCCAGTGAGAGAAGATGCCTATATTTCTTTATAAATGTTGCAAGACTTTATACCAGCCTAATTTTACAGGTATTATTGATTAATAATAGATGGCAAAAAAGTACATGCTAGCTGGGTGCAGTGGCTCATGCCTGTAATCCTAGCACTTTGGCAGGCTAAGGCAGGCAGATCACTTGAACTCAGGAGTTCAAGATCAGCCTGGGCAACATGGTGAAACCCTGTCTCTATTTATTTAAAAATAATTTTTTTTTTAAAAAGTACATGCTATGTAACATTGTACAGTAAGTCCTCACTTGACATTTTTGATAGCTTATTGGAAACTGCCACTTCAAGTGAAATGATGTATAATGAAACCAATTTTTTTTCCTCTTCAGTGTTATAATGAAAACACGTTGAATGAAATGATGTTATTCAAGGACGGGCTGTATGTTGTTTTGCTTAAAGTGACAATTTCTAAGAATCTATTGTTGACATTAAGCAAGGACTTACTGTACTTCGTCTACATAAAATCTCCTGAGAACATTATATGGTTGGATAATATGTGCATACTTTAATAACATTCTAATTTGTATTGAAGAAGCAGAGATGGTTGGCTTGTGGGCTGATACCTGGCAACTCAGCCAGCCATATCAAAGGAAAGCCTTCCATTTGGCTGCCCAAAGGTCAGATGCCCCAAATTTTCCATCTGATTGCAAGGTTGGACCTAGGCACCGTCTAGTATCCACTGTTGCTTGGCCTTGTAAACCCAGGCCAGTGACGTCACAGAAGATAGCTTAGCAATTAGCAACTTGGAATTCATCACACAGAAAGACTCTTTATTACCAGCTTGGGCAACATGGTGAGATCTCTTCTCTACCAAAAGCAACAAGAATTATCCAGACTTGGTGGTTCATCCTTATAATCCCTTTAACTCAGGAGGCTAAGTTGGGAGGATTGCTTGAGCCTGGGAAGTTGAGGCTGCAGTGAGGCAAGATTGCACCACTGCACTCCAGCCTGGGCAACAGAGTGAGACCCTGTCTGAAAAAAAAAAAAATTAGATTAAAAAAGCAAATAAATAGATTATTTGTAAAACAATTTTTTATTATGAGATATATGTTTGCATTGTTGGAAGAAATTATCATCTAAAGATATTTACTATTTTTGACTCTCTGTTATATACCAGGCACTTTGCTATGCATTTTATGTATGTCATTTCTTGTTTTCATTAAGAAAGGTGTTAGCCCGTTTTTTTTTATTTAAAAACAAAAACTGAGCCTAAGAGAGAGGATGTGATTTACCAGGTCACACACTTTGAAAGTGGTACAGCCATTGTTTAAATCCACAACTGCATTTTCCCAAAGCCAGCCTGCCCCCCTGTATATGCGTGCAGATGTTTTTACCATTTTAAGGCCATATATATTTTTTAATTGCCATGTTTTCCCATGAATTCTGGAAAGACTTTACAGAAATCATCTTATTCATACACTTGTTAATGTCTTCAAATAACATTTTTTTCTTATTGATTTGTCTGTACTAAGGATTTTATTTTACCTTCAGATTTACTAATTGGCACCTTTTCAGCCTAGGCATTAACCAGCAGAGATTTCACCCCAGAGGTTTACACAGCCCAGGAAACTGGATCTATTGTGGCAGTCAGTGTCTTAACCTCTGAAATGTAAGATGTACTCTCTGGCAGGTTTATTTAACACAGTTGTAGACAATTTGAGGTTTCACTGTCAGCTTTTACTTAGACAGCACCCTTAAGATGGGCTTGCCCAGCCAGAGCATTGGTTGAAATGTTGTACTGACTTCATGCAGAGTCAGTCTTGCCACATTCAGGGACTGGGACCTTATACAAACATTTCTTGAGAGCCTTCTGTAGGCTGTGGAGTGGACCAGGTAGCCCCAGTCCGTGCCCTCACGAGTAGAGCTGGCCACTGCTTACTAGCTTCCTTCTCTCTCAAGTACAGTAGTAATTGTTTTGCTCACAGGGTTGTGGTGTAAGGATCAAATGAGCAAGTGCTTACTTTGTGATCAGCAAAGCTGTATATGAGAGTTAATGTTCTGGTTCTGGTTATTATTGTTTCATTACTTGGGAAAAATGCATATTCATGTCAATATTGATTATCAGCATCACTGCTAAGTTCTCATGTCTCAGTTCAGTTCCTGTGGGGTTTTTACAGGTTTTGTTTGTTTGATCCAGCCTAGGTGGCCACCGCAGCATAAGCAAGGGCTTAGTTCCTGAACTGGGTTTACAGTCATATGTGACATTTTTTTTCTTTGATTCAGCATGTTTTTAATGATTCATAAGTTAAAAGCTGCTGGTGTTTTTATTAAAGCTGCCATTTGTTACTAACTAGCCTCTTGTGTGACTCCTAAGTGGACTGCCCACAGCACTTCCTTCCTCTGAGGCATTCTGCATTCCTGTGAGCAGGTAGCAGTGTTTTTTTTTTTTTTTTTTGAGACGGAGTTTCACTCTTGTTACCCAGGCTGGAGTGCAATGGCGCGATCTCGGCTCACCGCAACCTCCGCCTCCTGGGTTCAGGCAATTCTCCTGCCTCAGCCTCCTGAGTAGCTGGGATTACAGGCACGTGCCACCATGCCCAGCTGATTTTTTGTAGTTTTAGTAGAGATGGGGTTTCACCATGTTGACCAGGATGGTCTCAATCTCTTGACCTCGTGATCCACCCGCCTCGGCCTCCCAAAGTGCTGGGATTACAGGCGTGAGCCACCGCGACCGGCAGGTAGCAGTGTTGATTGAGCCAACCTCCTGGGTCCTTCCTTCATCAACACCCTTTGCGGAATGGCCAAGCGTTTGCTGTCTGGAGAAGTGCAGGGGGAGCCTGGGTCTGTTAGCTTCTTACTTGGTTCATGAATACAGATCTCATGAAAGTGCTGGTATCGCCCCTCATCCTAAATGACCTGTATTTGTAGTGTTGTGGGTCCCTGTTAGCAGATTATTATAAAACCTTTCCTCCCTTTCCTTCCATTTTATTCTGGCCATGTCAAGCCATGACATCTTTCTGGATGTGGTCTGGCCACATCTCCCCAAAAAAATGAAGGCTCTGTCAGGCAGATTCCTGCAAAAAGTCCCAAATTAGCCATCATCGCCTTCCTGGCTAAATAGAAAACCGCCTTTGTTGAGCTCCTCCTAGATGGCAAGCAGTTTGCTCTAATTATCTGACATGATCCTTAAAACAGTTCTGTATGGTTGGTGTTCTCCTCCCTTGTAGATGAGCTACATGGGGCTCAGGGAAGCTAGTTAATGCCTTACCCAATCTGCACATTTGGGGGTGCAGGTATCAGGATCTGATGCTTTCTTGTCTTCTTGCAATCTTCCATTAGGGGCTTTCAAGAAAAGACATTCTCAATGTGATTTGTAAAGTGCATATTTGTGTATTTGCACATTAAAAAATAACGCTGGAACAAAAGGTCTTCAATAACCATGTAAAAAAATACATTTCTTTGTTGTTTTCCAGTGAGTAAAATTGGCCTGGATACAGAAGGAGAAACCTGTGGAAATGCAGAAAAGCTTGCAGAATATATTTGTTCCAGTAAGTAGAAAAAGATCACTCAAAATGAAGCCCATTTATTTTTTGTTGACCTCACAACCACTACCTAGGGAACAGAATATTTCCTCTGTGCATTCTTGGTGGTAAGATTGATTGGTGAGCAACGTGTAAGCCACTCTGGGACTGTAGCCTACTTGTATTTGTGTATGTCTATACTTGCATGAGGTTTAACCCACTTCCTGCTACCCCCTGTACCAAAGAGCTTGATTTGAACATAACACAAAATAAAACATCTGGGAGATAAAACCAGAGGAGAGATCACTTGAGGGATTCCAAAGAGAGCAGAGGCAGGAGGTGTGAGTTGGTGCTCCCCCCTTCCTGAGTACTGTCCTTTCCCTTCTCAGGAGCTACTTCCTTCTCTGAATTCCCTCCCCCCTCTTGCTCCTAGGTAAAGAGCTGACTCATCATTGGGCTGCATGTGGACTGGACTTAAAATGGCATTTGTTCTGGGGGTATTCATATTTAAATGGGGACTTAGCGTCTTAAACTAATTATGGAATTTTAGGCTTCAGAAGATACATAGGCAAAAATTCTTGAAGCAAGAGGGATGGGAAGGCTGAAGTTCTGCTTGTAGGGTAGGCCCACCTCTAAGGTGCATCTCCGTTCCCCTCTCTTCCCTGCATGTCAGTTTCAACCGCAAGCTCTTACACCCTTGTCATTTGACTCCTCCCTGCTGTAGCTGTGAGATCATACACCCCCATGAAAGCACAAAGTAGAATCACCTTGCCTTCAATTGCTGAAGAGGAGGAAATCCAGGCCTTCCTAGAGATCAGGGGCCAGCAAACTTCATCTGTTAAGGTTATTTTAGGCTTCGCAGGCAAATGTTCTGTCAGAACTACTACACTCTGCAATGGAAGCATGAGAGTAGCCATAGACAATACACAAACAATGGGCTTGGCTTTGACCTCAGGCTGTAGTTTTCTGACCCCTCTATAGAATTGCTTGAGTGTCTGCTGAGCTGCAAGGCTGGGGTCAGATGAACGCTGACAGCTGAGATTTTCCACTGAGGTGGTCCCAGGAGACAGGTATATTCCTCAGCCCTAAGGTGGTGAGATCAGGATGGGTGGTATAGGGAGAGAAAACACCTTAAATAGGTCTTTTTATGGCTTCTGAAACAGTGATGGATGGTTTTGTTTCTGGCAAAACAAAGTATTTGCGTTATAAAAAAAATACTCCTAAAGGTGATGTTGGCCTTTCTAACAAACAAACTTGTACACTAAAGTCTTATAAGTCATTACTTATAAGTCTTCCTGTCATAAGTCATTACTGTTGCCTGAAGCTTCTCTAGCTTATATTTTTTGTGTTAACTGGGAGCTTGTTCTGGAGAAAGTCCTGCATCTTTTTCTACACTGTGGTCTGAGGATCCCTGAAGCTCAGTTAGGCCCCCAACAGGGTCATATGGGTCAGGGGCAGCAGTGAGCAGTCAGGGAACAGCAGAGGTACTGCTGGGCTAAGTGGATCCTTCCCAAGTTCTCCAATTATCCTTTTTTTTTCTTTTTAATTTATTTTTAAAATAACCTCATTGCACCTTTCCTGAGTCACTGTATATTCTGCATTAGCACTGAAGACTAGCATTTATTGAGTGCCCAGGGTGTCTTAGATACTTAGACACTTGGCCTGTAGGATGTCATTTAATCTTCACCATCACCCTCATGAAGTCAGAATCATCTCCACTGCAAACTGTGCTGTCCAGTACAGTAGCTGCTAGCCACATATGGCTATTTAAGTGTAAATGTAAATTAAATAAAATTGAAAATTTAGTTATTCAGTCACACTGGGCACATTTCACAAGTTCAGTTGTCACTGTGGCCAATGGCACCAAATTGGACTGCACAGAACATTTCCATTATCACCAAAAGTTCTTTCTGACTGTGCTGTTATAGAGGCCCTTGGGGGACCAAGGGACAGGTCTAGTCCAGGGTCACAAGCTATAAAGTGGCAGGCTGGAGTTCACACTCATCACAGCAAGGCCACTGCTCATCCCATGGCCCATCACATTCAGAGGCCTGACTGGCACCTGCTCCATGCCAACCTGTCCTCAGGGAGATGCTGACCGAGCACCTCCATCCACTCTGATTCAGAGTGACTGGGGCTTCTGCAGAGCTGAGGACGTAAGTGTGCCTGACTCTGGTGGGCAGAGGCTTAGGGAACTCCAGTTTTGAGGAGCTACACTGGCCTTTTCTGGCTGCTGAGATGAATAAGCTCTAGTCCCAGAGTGGGTCAGCCACTCGGCACTCCTGACCTGTGCCCTTCTTAGTTCAGTGGATGTGCACTGGTCAGCTCAGAGAGGGCTTTCGGACATTAATGCATTGGCTGTCACCTCTCTTGCCCCACCCCCCATATTCCTTCCCACGTCACAGGAGAACGTGATGTTTACCCAGGAGCACCTGTGTGCCAGGCCTTTGCAGGGCATTGGGGCTGAAGAGGAGTTTGACTCTATTCCTGCCTGCTGGAAGCTCCCAGCCTAGCTGGGGCTGGAGGTGGGGACAGGGTGGGGAACATAGACATCAATAACCATTATAAGGCAGGGTGGGTTAAGTGACCAGAAGAAGTATGAACAGTTTTTATATAGTGGACCTACTATTAAGATATCTGTTTCTGGCTGGACATGATGGGTCACGCCTATAATCCCAGCACTTTGGGAGGCCAATGTGGGTGGATCACAAGGTCAGGAGTTTGAGACCAGTCTGGCCAACATACTGAGACCCCATCTCTACTAAAAGTATAAGAAATTATCCTGGTGTGGTGATGTGTGCCTGTGATCCCAGCTACTCGGGAGGCCGAGTCAGGACAATCGTGTGAACCTGGGGGGCAGAAGTTGCAGTGAGCCAAGATTGCACCATTGCACTCCAGCCTGGGCGATACATATATACACACACCAATGACCAATTCTCCAGTGTTCTAGGTAGCAGCTGGGTGTCCTACAACTTAATTCTGACATTACCCAGAATTAACCCAGACACCACAGTTTCAGGGCTCAGTCTTAGCAAACTGTCCCCCACTTTAGATACAAGTATTGGATGCTGAGGGACCTCTGTCTAAGTTGGCTACAAATCAGGATTTCCCACAACTCCCTACTCAGGTTCAGTAATTTGCTAGAATGGCTCATAAAACTCAGGGAAACACTTATGTGTACTGATTTTTATAAAAGAGATAAGGACACAGATGAATAGCCACATGAAGAGGTGCAAAGAGCAGGGTCTGGAAGGGTCCTGAGTACACAGGAGCTTCTGTCCCTGTGAAGTTGGGGTGCCCCACCCTCCTGGCACATGGATGTGTTCACCAATCCAGAAGCTCTCTAAACTCATAGTTTAGGGTTTTTATGGAGGTTCCATTATGTAGGTACCATTGATTAAGTCATTGGCCCCTGGTGAGTAACTCTACTGCCAACCCTATGATCACATCGTTCTTTCTGGCCTTCAGCCCCCATCCTGAAGGTCTCTAGGGAACACTGCCAGTCACCTCACTAGCATAAACTCCAGTATTGTTAAAAGGGGTTTATTATGAATAACAAAAGATGCTTCTCTCACCTCTGTCAGGAAATTCCAAGGGTTTTAGAAGTTCTATGCCAAGAACAGGAAGGACCAAATACTTCCTCTTGTATCACAGTGTCATGACAGGATGTCCAAAAGAAGGCAGAGGTCTTCAGGAAAGTCTGCAAAAAAGGCACACCCATGGCCTCTTCTCCACAGAGAAGGGCAGGCCCTCCCTCAGACAGTAGTCATGGACAAGCCCTCCCACTCAGGGAGCCACTGAGCAGAGACATGGAAGGAGGGGCTTTTCCTGGAGAGTATGGCATGGCGGGGGCAGTGGGTGGCAAGCTGGGGAGCACTGAGTAGCTGTCACCCGGAGCCCTGAGGCACTGGGCCTTAATGTTCACCCCCGTGGGTCAGACTCAGGCTGGAGTGGTCCTCCCCAGGCCTGGGCAGGAACACAGCACTGCCTGCTCCCTCTTAGTGGGAGGGTATCACTAGCTGTAGCCAGGATCGGGCCCAAAAGGCATTCACTGAATTAGGACCCAGTTCTCTTGTTCCAGTGTCCCTTAAAATTTATCCCTTAAGTAGCATTTTTTTAAAACCTACAGAGGTATCACAATCTAAGAGCAGGGCCTGGGGTGCTGTGGCAAGTCCTGCCTTGAAGGGACCTGCCACAGCTCAGCATGCCCCAGGGCTTGCCAGCAGGCAGCTTCCACATGGGTATAAGAAATTATCCTGGAGGCTCTGGGGGCATAACAGAAATATTATAAAGGAGTTAGAGTGTCTGGTACATGTCCAACATACATTGGCACTGTGTGCATGCCTCTTAAGTGCCTGACATGTTGTTGTGCTGAGCTGTGACACAGGGATGATTACTAGACTGCTTTTACTCATGAAGAAACTGAGCTCAGAGAGGGACTCTTGTCCAGAGGAACAGAGCTGATAATGCTTGGCGGGGGCACAAGCCTAGGACAAGCTGACTCCAAAGCTCTTTTGTTTCCCTTGTTCTGTGTGCTTCTAAAAAGGTACTTAGTCCAAAATATGCCCAGTTCTCTTCCAGCAGGTAAAGAAGTCAATGGAATCTTTTGAAGTGAAGAAAGTGGGTTCTAGGAGCTCATCCCACTAATTTGTGCATTTGGACATGCCCTTGTGCTGATGAATCATTGGGCTGATGTCTGGGATTTAGCCACATCCTTGGTGACAAGGCGTGGGAAAAGGCCCTGAGGGTGAGGCCAGCCTGAGCCCCAAGGGAAAGGGTCTGCTGGGACTCCCTGACCTCAGCTTATCTCTGGAGCACACACAGCCTCGCACAGATGCCTCAGTCTGCCCCGCTGGAGTTTGTGCCATCTCAGACCTAGCCTCTCTACCTGGGCTCCACATAAAGAGATCATCCCTGCTAGGCTTTCTCTAGAACATTTCATGAGCCAGCACTGTGAGACATTTAAAGCTAAAAACGTACAGTTAAGGAGACTGTAATCTGTGGTAGAGAGTGTTTAACCATTTGCTGCTGGTAAAGATGGTTGGCCCCGTTCTTCTCTGGCCACTTGTGCCACATGGTGTTCCCAGCTGGGCCCTTGGGAGAGGCCTTTCCATGCACCATGCACCAGTGTGGAGAAGCCCTCTGGAGGCCAATTCAAAGAGCATCTGAGGCTAAGCAGCTGAAGGGAAAAGGCCCAATGGCCACCGTGTTGCTTTCTGTGGAATGTTCCAGAGTATGGATTGCTGGGGCCATTTTCTTCAACAGCAGCCTAGATAGGCGGTGACTCTCATTTGTGCTGCCAGGTGTTGAAATAGCTGCAGGGAATCCACAGACAGTTGTTCCAGCTGTCCAGATCAGAGAGCACTGGTTGGGCCCTGTGCCACGTGACCCCATCCCTGTGGGATGGCTTCTTAGGTCATGGAGCTGCGCATCAGTGTTGGGGGTTCACTCCAGGGGCTCCTGGTACAGGATGCAGATAGGTCAGGAACAGTCTGGCTCCAGGCTTTTTGTTTCTATTGTTGTTTCTGGAGAGTCATCACAGCATTAAATAGTATCAAAGCCCTTCTTTTTAAAATGTAGAAATAAATGTAAATGGTAGATATTGACATTGTGGAATTAAGTGTCAGGATCTACAAAGAATAATAATTACTTCTATGGGTGGGCCAACAGTTAGCTCCTTAATAGAATAGGTGGTTCCTGCCTATTTTCAGTGAAGAGATTGAGCTGTACCCACAGTTTGTTCTGGAAGGAGACAGAAGTGAACTGTCTGAGTCATTGTTCGTTAGAAGACCCCAAATCATCAGGCTGGTGTCCCCTGCTTTGCAAACACAAGGCAGAAGAGATCAATGTCACTTTTGAGTGATCACATTGGTGTTTCAATTAACTGACTCAAGGCTTGGTTGGTTAGATATTAACATATTCTGACCTTATCTGGGAGAATATTGGTCTGCATTCTTTGTAAAGCCTCTGCTATTTCCTCTAATTTATTACCAGCATGTCTGTGGATCTTAATAAATCTTCCATTTGCAATTAGAATACCCAAATAAAAATCCATGTTAACTGCTAATAAGGACCTTCACCTTGGCTTTACCAAGGCATTAATGATTTTTCTTTCTCAGCAAACTTTGAAGCCTGATTTTAAAAGCTAAAAATCTACCTCCAATGCTTATAGTAAACAGGCCAATTCATAGCTATGCCTATTTATTTTAGTTAACACTACTTTGTGACAGGAACTATTGTAAGTATTTAAAGCTATTAACTTATTTAATCTGATAACTCATGGTTCTGATAGATTCTCCTTCTTTCCTGAATATATCCTCTAATGGGAAAGTAATTACACACTAAATGTTAAGAGGTAGACTACAGTGTAACTTTTGAAAAGAAAGAGAAACAAGGTAGGGCAGAAAGATTGCACTACAGTTTATTTGCAGTGTCCTCCTAGACTGGGAAAATTTCTGCAGCCTGGCAGACTTGCCGGGCTTTTCTTCCGTTCCTCTGATCGTCCTCATTATCTGCAATCAGGCACCCACTGACTGCTCGAACTGATTCTCATGGCAGTGCCTGAGAAGGAAGTCATTTTAAACCTGGAAGTTGTTACTGTTTTACAGACATGTGCATGTCCTGAAGTAAGATGACATTTTAAAAAGTCAATCTCATTGATGCAGGACTTTTTGCTCCATCATTCAGCTAAATTTGGGTTCTTGTCTCATGACCAGGAAAAATTAGGCAGGTAGACACACTGGAGGGTGAGAAGGGCTGAATTTATTAAGAGAAAGGAAAGCTCTCAGCAGGGCATGGTGGCTCATGCCTGTAATCCCAGCATTTTGGGAGGCCTAGGCAGACAGATTGCCTGAGGTCAGGAGTTCAAGACCAGTCTGGCCAACAAGGCAAAACCCCATCTCTACTAAAAATACAAAAATTAGCTGGGCATGGTGGTGGGCACCTGTAATCCCGGCTACTCAGGAGGCTGAGGCAGGAGAATTGCATGAGCCTGAGAGGAGGAGGATGTTGCAGTGAGCAAAGATTGCACCACTGCACTCCAGCCTGGGTGAAAGAGCGAGACAGAGAGAAAGAGAGAGAGACTGACAGAGAGAGAGAGACAGAGAGAGAGAGAGAGAGAGAAGTTCTCAGCAAAGAGAAAGAGAAAAAGAAGAGAGAAAAGAGAAGAAGGACAAAAGGAAGGGGCTCTCAAAAAGAGGGGTTCTCCAATCAGGTTTCTCCCTCATGATTGAATACCAGGGGTACCACACATGAGCTGATGAGGCCAGGCTCCTCCCCTGCATAAGGCGCGATTTCCTCGCGGCCCCACCCCATTCCCCTAGTGCACATGAGGATTCCCAGGCAAGCCACAGGTAGTATCGGAAAAGGCAACATTTGATTGGTTAAAGGGCATTATTCTGAAAGAAGCAGTTGGGAAAGGGCAGACAAATGGTTAGATGTTCTCCCCCTGGGTTGCAGGTTGCATCGGAACCAGCAGTCTGGCCTTTCAGCTTTCAGGCTATTTTAGGCTTGAAGGTGAGGTTTCACCGGGGACCCTTCCCTATCTACCTAGGCATTTGTCTGCTTCCTGCCTGTATCATCATTTTTTTAATTACCTGCAGTGACTTTATCAAACCCCCTCCTGAGCTGCCTAATAATAATACTCTCAGGATTTTCATCATTGTTACTCATCATCAGCCCTGACAGCCCAGAATTGAGGCCTCCTTCCTGTTAAACTAATGGAGAGCAGAGCCTTTGAGCTCCATGATTCACTATTTTTGTGTCAGCTTTAACCATTGCTTTGGCCTTTTGGGGCTGAAGATAAATTCACAGGCAGTAAGCATATTCCAAAAGGGAATGACTCCTTTGTCTTTGGCTTTTTGAAGGGGGTTAGTTTTCAGGAAATGTAGTTGTAGTAGATCTCCCCTCAGCAGCAAAGGACATTTTTAAGTTTTTCTCCTTTCTGCTGACAGGGCGGTGCCTTTTCAGTGAAGTCAGCTGAGCTGGTTGGTCATTTGTGGGCCCTCTGTGCCTGCAGAGCCAAGCTCTCTGCGAGGCACAGGTGGTGGAGAGATAGAGAAAAACAGCCGCCTTCAGGGAGGGCGTACCCCTTCAGCCCAGCCTTGTGAGTCAGAGATAAGAAAGAGCAGCTCAGGACTCCACTGGACCCTCACAAGAGGTGCTGCCAAGGGGAGATTCCCGAATCTTTTCAAGGCCCTTTGCTCGCCCATGGGGCTGGGCTTGCTGAAAAACTGGATTCTAGTTTTCTTACTGGATCCCCACGAAGAGCTTTGGCCCCTAGCATCCTCCACCCCGCACTCCTAAGCACACACAGAGACACAGAGAAGAAAATCACACCTGAACATGGCTTTGAAAATACATCTCTAGGGATGACTCTACAGAGCATGCAGACATTTCCTCACACTGGAAAAGAGAAAACAGCAGACATCTATTAACTATATTTAACAATCTCCCAATTCATTATTTTCTTTTATGTTGGTACTGATATTTACACAGCAGTTTAAATAGAGAAAACATTGACCAGTATGTAGCCTTTATACACTTGAAATTAAGTGGCCTGCAGTTGTTCCTGTTGTTTGCTGCTTGGTAGATATGATGCCGGATGGAAAGAGGTTTTGCTCCTTCCTCTCATTGCAGCCACCAGAGGATATGTGTTCAGAGAGACCGCAAGGATGTGGGAAAATATACAATGTGTACGAACAACGCCCATTAGAATTTCTTTATGGACGATGTGGGGAAAATGGCTGGTTCTACTAAAATGTTTTGTTTTCACATTTGGGGAAGATTATGGCATTTGGTAATACATCAGTTTTGTTGGGCAGTACTGTTGCAAATTGGTGTTCAAATCCTATGCCGTCCTCACTGTTCTGCAAAGAGTTTAGGGCTGAAAATGCCTGTAAGTCTTCCCAGAGATGAGCTGCTGGGAGCAGAGATAGTTGTGAGAGGAGAGGCAGGGCTGTTCTTAGCAGGCTTCTCTCTAAGGCCTGCACATCTGCCATTTAGCACTTGGCCTAGTGGCTGCTGGTGTGGCTGAAAGAGGAGTGGGCAGTGAGCTTGTCTTTGCTGGGGGTGGCTGCAGAGCCACTCCTAGCTGCCACTTCCCTGCTGCACTCCCTGGCTCATCCAGGGCCTCTTTAGGGTAGAAAATGTTTGCTGCAGTGCCAACACTAGGCCTGAGCTTTACCTGCCTGGCTTGGTTAAGGTGCAGAGCCCGCCTTCTAAATAGTGACTGCAGGCTAGGGAGTCACTTTAGGGTTAGAGGGAATTAAAAGAGTGTGGCTAACTTGTTTATGTGGATGTTCATTTTGTGAGCACCTCTATACACATTACCTCGTACGATCTTCATATAACAGCCCTTGAAGTTCAGCAAGGTAGCAGGTGCTCTTCCTGTTTACAGAGGCTGGAACTAAGTCCTAGAAGCAAAGCCAGGCCTGGAGCCCGGGCTTCCTCCTCCCCATTCGCCCTGTGCACAAGCACTGCCCCTGAGTTTTCACAAAGTCTGGTTATTTATTCACAGGGGAGTCCTCAGCACTGCCTCTTCTGTTTCCCTGTGGAAACCTCAAAAGAGAAATCCTGCCGAAAACGCTCAAGGACAAAGGTGAGCTTTGAATGCTTTGACTGCATCCCTAACCACTTTGGGTAGATTCCAGCAAGAGCCTTTGCAGTGTTGGAAGGGGGTAGCCCTGCAGAGAGCATACAAGGGAGAGCAGGCCTGGGTTGGATATACCAGGCCAAGGGACACAGGGACAATCCTCACATGAAGTATAGATGTGCAGTCTGCACTTTCCTTTTTTGGATATGCTCTTCTCACCTCACTTGGCTCAAGCTAGAAGCACACAGTGTGTCTCCAGTCCTTCACCAAGAGGACAGGAGATTGAAGTGTGGAGGTGGCCCCTGGGCAGATAACTGAGGTGATGAACCATAGAATTGGTTCCACATGTAGAAGAAAGTCTACAAATTTAGCTGATCTTATAGTAGCATGCAGCACCCTCCATCCGAGCCACACAAGCCCCACCTGCCCCTCCAGCCCCACCTGCTGTGGCTCCCAAGACTGTCGGTATCTAGAAACTAGCTCTTGCCTCTGAAGCATGCTGCCATCATTGACTCAGATGTCTTAGCTGTCACCTGCACACCTTTTGCTGTCACATAGTTGGTCTGGGAGCAAGGTGTGTCGGCAGTGTGGAGTACCAGCGTTAGGGTGAGATAAAAACAGATTTGAATTCTCCCTCTCGCTGTTTATTAGCTATGTGAATGAAGGTAAGTGAAGTAATCTCTCTGTGATCAGCATCCTTATCTGTACATAGCCATAGTACCTGCTCACAGAGGTGTTCAGAGATCATGTAGCATGACGGTTCTCCAAAGGCAAGCTCTTCATGGAACTGTGACTCTTACCATCTCTCCCAGTATTTTGAAGCTCTAACCGTCCACCTGAATAGTGTGACCCAGGGTGACCTTAGACCTTGTCACTTTCCCTCCTGTATTAAAACGGAGCTGGATCATGTCCCTTCTACCCATATCACCTGTCTTCTAAAGGCTGCCAAGAATAAAGGCAGAGGACATTAGGTAATAAGATCAGCAAAATCACTAGCTTTTCAGGAATAGAAAATACCAGGATAAAATAAGAGGAAGCTTGGCCTCAGGGGTACCCTTAAAGAAATTATATATAAATCGGAGGTTTGATACTTCCATTTATTTCTTTAGTTTTAGGGGATATGAAATGGCGAAAGGTTGCTGTTTTTTGCTAAAATTATAATAATTTTTTCTGAGAGAATTTCCCATTTTATTTTCAGAAGCCTGAGTTTTTACTACTTTTCACCTGCTGTCTGGCTGCCCCTCGTAAATCTATATCTGACTGAAATTGTGCTAGTCCCTTCAATGCCTCGTACCTCATCACCAGCCCTGAAAACCCCTGGGAATGTTCAACATCACTGAATGGCACAGGGAGGAATGTGGGAACGTCCACGGCTTAATCAGTTCGTCTCCAAGTGGACACCCTGAGGCCCAGAGAGGGGACGCATGGCCACGTGGAGGCACAGCGAGAGCGCAGCCGGGATCTGGACTCTGTGCCTCTCCCGAGAGCTGCCCTTGCCCACACTTGCTGGTGTCATGCAGCCTGTCTATGTGGGATCCATGGAGTGACTAGGGACAGCCTTGTATGGACAAACTCACATAAGCCTGGGAACAAAAGGCATTCTGGGTATAAACAAAGGCTTTGGTTTCTGAGCCTTTTTCTTTTTCTGCTATCTCAGCCTCCTCTGCCACAGCAGCCACTCCACAGGGTCCCGCAGGCTGCAGAGGGCTGTTCGAGGCCTCTCTAAGGAGCCTGGCCTCTCAGCCTCCAAGCAGCTGGTTCCAGGAGAGGGGTGCTGTATTGGGAGGTTTCACCAACTGTGCTGTGAGGTGGCAGAGGCTCCATGGTGTGCCCACTGCAGTAAAGACTTTCCTGGTTTTGATTGTGCCCAGGGATTGCCATGGAAAGCATAACTGTGTATCAGACAATTCCACACCCAGGAATCCAAGGGAACCTGAACAGCTACTACTCCCAGCAGGTATGTGGTGTTCTCGGGGAGAGCTCTAGCAGGGTGGACGTCCAGGTTGGGGAAGCCCAGGGTGAGGGGGTATAAGCTCACAGGTGTTGGTTCTACATGTGGTTTCACCGTCCCCAGCTGTCACCTGCATGCCTTTTTCTGTGGCATAGTTGGTCTGGGATTCTAGAATTAGGAGTGGAAACAATTTTGTGGTTGTTTCATGAAATGTCTATTGCAAGCTGGTTTGAAATCAGTGATTTCAAAAAGAGGTGCTTGTGGTAGGTGGTCTATGAAACCTGCCTGTTTGGAGAGATTAATGTGGTAACTTTGAGGAAGTGGTAAGTTTTTATAGGGGTTAAAGGAGATAATTTGCGCAACGCTTTTTGTACAGCATCCAAGATACATACGAGCCTGAGATAAATAGTGGCCTTGATGTTATCATTGTTCTTCATCATATGGAGGCACTGGTGGAACTGGAGGGGCAGAGGCTGAAAAGGGAGGCTGGGCCCTTAGTGGGAAGAGCTGACAGTGGCCACTGAGGAGTCTGGGTTGAATTTGGGAGTCCATGGGGACTGATGGAGGACTTAGGCAGGAGAATGGATAGCTCTTGCTCAAGTTCCTTGACGTCTTAAGCATTTATGTGCAGTAAAACACCTCCCTTTCCTCTCAGGGCGGGCTTCTGAATGCCTTGCCTGGTATTGGGAGGGCCTGATAAGACTAACCAAGTGCACAAAGGCCAGGCCAGCTCATCCACTTCCTCTACTTCCAGAGGGAGGGAGCACTGACGGAGCCAGCACTGCCTCACATGATCAGTGCCATGTGACCACAGGAGCTAGAGGCATTGTCTGGGGTGCTGGGCACATGAACTCCGTGATGCCCATGTCCTCTGGCCAGGCAGACCCAGACCTGGGGGCCAGCAGAGCGGCCAAGGAGCAGCACCAGCTTTCTGATGGCAGTCTACTCTTTTCAACAGTTCCTTACTAGAATCCTGCCTCACAGGAACAGAGGGTCCCAGCATCAACCAGGAACCCCTCCTGTGGTAAAATTGCCTGGGCAGCCTTGATGCTGATGAAGCTGGAGGAATGTTGTCTCTCCTTGGCCTCATGGCCAGGACTGATCTTGTTTTCTCTTCCCTGCAGGGAGTTCCAGCCAGCATCACGTTTTTCAGTCCCTCTGGCCTTACACACAGTCTCAAGCACATTCAGGAGTTATCTGGTGACAGTATCGATCAAATTAAGGTAAGTTATTCAATGGGCTTTTGGTCTTTTTCATATTAGTTTATTTTATTTTTTATTTTTTGATCTTCATGAATTATCCTAGGGCTTCAATGTCAAGTGAGACACGCCTGGCCTAGGAGGTGCCCTCAAATTGGAAGGGCAGCTCCACCTCCTGCTGGGCTGTTGCACAGATTGCTTACCCTCTCCCAGCCCGTTTCCTCACTTGCAGCATAGGGATAATTGTCTCTCTGTGGCCTTCACAGACATGTGTATGGTCTTCCTTGCATAGGATGAGTCTCAGAATTACATGAGGGAATTCAAGTAAAGTCCTTACTTAGCTCAGGGCTTGGAACATGTTAACAAAGGTGTTAACATCCTTTCCTTCCGTTCCCCCATCTTATGTTTGCCATTATCGTCTATTGTAAAAGCAGTAACCTTTTTCATGTCTTTTAAAGGGTTTACATTCAGGTCTCTTAGGGACTGTATTCATGATGAGTCGACAAATAACCACAACTCTTGTGGTGTCTATAATAGAAATACCCTTGAACTGGCTCCAGAGGGACTGAGGAGAGGGTGCAGGATGTGACCCAGAACCCAAGGACAGAAACTGCCACTTGCTGCAGTAAGGAAGAGCAAAGGCTTCGCCTGCTTTCCTACAGGTGCATCTCACATGAGGAGTATGCACTGCTTTCCTGGTTTTAAAGATGGAGCATTGGGCTCCAAGACACCTTGTGTCCTGCCTGTTGGTCACACTGCTGAGAAGGAAGAGCCGTGATTTGAACCTCAGAAGACTGATTGCACATTGTCAGCCCTGGTGATGCCTTGCCATGCTCTCAGGAGCTGCCGAGCAGGTGATGCACTTATGGGCAGTAATTCATGTAATTCTCACACCAGTCCAGGTGTGGGTATCCAGAAAATAGGGCAGTGGTCCTCATTGTAGGTGAGGACACTGAGGCCCGGACAGGTTAAACAGACTCACATGGGCCACTGAGGAAGAAAAACAATATCTGAATCTTGTGGTTGGAAAGATTAAAGAGGTAGAATCCATAAAGTACTTAGTATGGTAACTGGTCCATAGTGAGCACTGACTTCATATTACAGGTCAGGATGGGTAATGGTGCTGGTGCTGCTCTGGTTCTTCTTTTTTTTTTTTGAGACAGAGTCTTGCGCTGTCACCCAGGCTGTAGCACAGTGACACGATCTTGGCCGACTGCAATCTCCACCTCCTGGCATCAAGCAGTTCTCCTGACTCAGCCTCCCGAGTAGCTGGGACTATAGGCGTGCACCACAACGCTCAGCTAAATTTTTTTGTGCTTTTAATAGGGACATGGTTTCACCATGTTGGCCAGGTTGGTCTCCATCTCCTGACCTCATGATCTGCCCACCTCAGCCTCCCAAAGTGCTGGGATTACAGGTGTGAGCCACCGCACCCGGCCGCTGCTCTGGTTCTTATCCCTCTGTGTCACGCTGCCTCTCTCCTGGACCTATGGGAGGAGCTCCCCAAGTCACACAGTGCTGTGAGATACTGGTGGTGTAAGCCTGTCACAGCTTTCCCCAAGCTTCTTAGTGTTTGCCTAGAGGAAGAACAAAAGATTTATACTCTATCTTCTTTCAAAGCAAGCATGTTTAAAAGCACAAACGGATACTCAACATCTGAACCGAGAACTCAGGCCTTTCTGAATAGACTGCTGCCTGCATCATCCACAACCCTGGAAACTGGGGGCTGAGTGCATGCCCCTATCCCACATCTGTCACGCCCATTTCTACAACCCTCCAGACGCTCTCAGGGGCTCTCAGTAGCCCCCTCGCCTCTTACTACAGTGATTACCCTACCTGCCAGTATTGAATGCCTCTGCCATGCTGGGGAGGAGAAATTGACAGAGCTGGCCTTGCTCACAGTGACTGTGGACTGCTTGGGGGCCACGAAGGTACTGTATGCCGGGTGTGAGATGCCCCTTGTTACTGAGACTCAGCACTGGCTAGTGAAGTGCTTTCAAGGTTCACAGAGGACACAGTCCTAGCTTGTGAGTTGGTAGTTAAGCTTTTCTCTCTCAGCTTGGCCCCAGATTTGCTGGTGGCCTCCCTTCCCAGGAGTCTTTGTAGGACCGAAAGTTTGTATAGCACTGCACCACATGTAGGTGTGCCACAAAAAATCAAAGGGCATGACTTCTGACCTGAACTTCCTACTTACCATTGTCTTGGGAAGACCATGCACATGTCTATAGTTGCCACAGACATCACTTCAGAGCAATAGGTAAGCAGATTCATAATAACCACCACCAAACTAATGGCAGCAACTGAATTTCCTGTGTACAGGGAAATGCCCATGTAGCCTGTAAGGTGGGCATCTTCACCTAGCAGTCACTAGCCACAATGGCAGAGCCGGGCTGTGAACGTGGCTGCTGCCCCCACAGCCAGGCTAGTGCACTCAGCCCAGTTGGTGCCCAGGTGGCAGAAGAATGTTGATGTTGGGCCCCCGGCCTAGCCTGGGGAAGACTGTCCTGCTCTGTGGGGCACCATCCTGTGAGCATTCATTGACATAGAGGAGCGAAAGGCTCCTGTGAAAAAGCCACCATTTCACCAAACCGTTGATAACCCTGCTGTAGGAGTACAGTCATGTTCGCCATTTGCTGGTTCCCAGTCCCAGGGAGTTTCTTTTTTTCAAATTTTTAAATAGCTCTATTGAGATATAATTCACAAACCATAAAATTTACTTTTTATGATTTTAATATGTAAACTTAAAAAAATTTTTTTAACTTTTTGCAGAGATGGGGTCTCACTGTATTGCTCAGGCTGGCCTCAAACTCCTGGCCTCAAGCAGTCATCCTGCCTTGGCCTCCCAAAATGTAGGGATTACAGGTGTGAGCCACCATGCCCAGCCCAATAAGTCAACTTTAACATGATTTTTAGGATAGTCACAGATTTGTGCAACCATCACCACTGTCTAGTTCCAGAACACCTCACCACCCCAAACAGAAACCCGGAACCCATTCGCAACCACCCCTCATTCCCTCATTCCCCCTACTCCTTGGCAACCACTCAGCTACTTTCCATCTCCGTGGATTTCTCTATTCTGGACATCTCATGTTAATAGACTCATACAGTATGTGGTCTTTTGTAACTGACTTTTTTCACTAGTATAATGTTTTCGAGGTTCATCCATGTTGTAGCAGATATACTTCATCCCTTTTTATTGCCAAATAATAATCCATTCTGGGGACTTTTTAATTTACCCATTCATTAGTTGATGGACATTTGGACTATTTTCACTTTCAGGCTATTAAATAATGCTGAACATCCAAATGCAATTTTCTGTGTGGACATATGTTTTCATTTCTCTTGAGTATATATTTAGGAGTAGATTTACTAGATCTAAGGTAACTTTGTTTAACATTTGTCGAATTATTGCTGTTTTCCAAAGTGGTTGTGCCATTTTGCATTGTCACCAGCAAGGTATGAGGGTTCCAGCTTCTCCATATCCTCCATATCCATATTTTTCTGTCTCTGTGATTATAGCCATGCTAGTGGGTCTGCAGTAGTTTCTCAGCATGGATTTGATTTAGATTTCCCTAATGACTAACGATGTTGAGCATCTTTTTACGTTTGTTGGTCATTTTTATATCTTCTTTAAAGAAATATCTATCCAAATCCTTTGCCCACTCTTAACCCAGGTTATTTGTTGAATTGACAGAATTTCTTATTCTGAATACAAATATTTTTTTTTGAGGTGGGAAATTGTTCCGCTCTGTCGCCAAGGCTGGAGTGCAGTGATGCAGTCTTGCCTTGCTGCAACCTTTGCCTCCTGGGTTCAAGCTGTTCTCCTGCCTCAGCCTCCTGAATAGCTGAGATTATAGATGCATGCCACCAGGCCTGGCTAATTTTTGTATTTTTAGTAGAGAAGGGGTTTCACCGTGTTGGAAGCTGGTCTCGAACTTCTGACCTCAGGTGATCTGCCTGCCTCGGCCTCCCAAAGTGCTGGAATTAGAGGCGTGAACCACTGCGCCTGGCCTCTGAATACCAAAAAAATTGTTTTTTGAGACATAGTTTTGCTCTCATTGCCGAGGCTGGAGTGCAGTGGCACAATCTTGGCTCACTGCAACCTCCGCCTTCCCGGTTCAAGCAATTCTTCTGCCTCAACCTCCCGAGTATCTGGGATTACAGGCATGTGCCACCACACCAGGCTAATTTTTGTATTTTTAGTAGAGACGGGGTTTCACCATGTTGCCCAGGCTGATCTTGAACTCCCAATCTCAGGTGATCCGCCTGCCTCAGCCTCCCAAAGTGCTGGGATTACAGGTGTGAGCCACTGTGCCTGGCCTGTGAGTACAAATTTTTTATCAGATGTATGTTTTGTAAAAATTTTCTCCCATTCTGTGAGTTGTCTTTTCACTTTTTGATGATTTTTTTGAAGCACAAAAGGTTTTCAATTTTGATAAAGTTCAATGTATTGTTTTTTTCTTTTGTTACTTGTGCTTTGGGTGTTGTATCCAAGAAACCATTGCTTTAATTCAGTGTTTTGAAAATTTACCCCTGTTTCCTTCTAGGAGTTTTATAGTTTTAGCTCTGAACTTAGGTATTTGATCTGTTTTGAATTGATTTTTGTATGTTGTGTGAGGTAGGGGTCCAACTCCATTTTTTCCTCAGGGAGTTTCCTAAGCAGCGGATGCTTAGAAGGGCAGTACTGTGGGCAGGGTGGGAGCAGGGCCTCTGCGGGACAGTTGGTCTCCCTTCCCTCGTTCTGACTCAGCCGGAGGAAGGAGCCTCAGGCCCACAGCATCCAAGGTTATGCAGAGGTTCAGGTGGCGTGTTAACTCCACTACCACCCGGCCTGCTGCCCACTTGCCAGGAGGGAGGGAGGATGAAGCAGAGTGCTGGGCAGGGGCTGCCAGGGTCAGATGCTCCCTTTCTCCAAAACAGGTTCAGGGTCCACAGTCTCAATCCAGAGGAGAGTGGGGGATAGGACATTCTCTCATTTAACCCCCACTCTAGCCCTCTGAGGTCAGGGTAACTGTGCCCCTTTTACAGGTGAGGATCAGAGAGCCTAAGGGACTTAGGCTCTAATAACAGCTAGCAGGGGCAGAGCCGGGACAGAAGCAGTGCTGCACCCAGGCAAGGCTCTGCACAGAACCATCGAGCCCATGGTGCTTGTTCAGAGAGAGGTGTCCTGTGGATGAGGCTGGTGCCCTGGACGGCTGATTTGGAAGGATCACGACAGCACAGGCAGCAGCCCATGACGGTCATCGAGCTTATCTCTGGGCCAGGCCAAGTGGTTCACACCTGTCACCTCCTTTAATCCCCACAGCAGCCCAGTGAAGAGTCCTGTTCTTTTCTGTTTATGGATAAGGAGGTGGAGGCCAGAGAGGGTGGGCCCACAAGCCAAGGGCATTGTCTTGTGAAGCTGGGATTTAAGTCTCAACCCTTGGTCCCAGAGCCCTGACCTTGATGGCTCTGCTTTCCTGGGGATTCAGTCACTGCCCCTGACATACCCACCTCCTCTTGATCAGACCCAGGGCCCCCAACACCGGAAGCAGAACTGTCTGCAGCTAGAGCCTCTGAGGAAGGACTGCAGTGATGCAGCCATGATGGCGAGCACCAGCTTGGGCCCTTCATGTCCCTGCCCCTCACCCGAGCCTGGGTACAGCATGCCCTCACTCCGGGTGGCAGAGAGACTGTGATGAGAGCATGGATTCAGAGGTATTTTGCAGGCACAGAATCTGGGCTCAAATCAGGTGGTGTTGTCATTTATATAAACGCGTCACATGAGGAGTGACCAACTGAAAGGCTGGCTGATGGCCCCTGCACACATCCAGCCACCTGCTGTTCCAACCCCCACTGGTGTACTGAAGCCCTGTTCTCTCTTCTGTCTTTACAGTTTGCAGCCATTGGCCCCACTACGGCTCGTGCGCTGGCCGCCCAGGGCCTGCCTGTAAGCTGCACTGCAGAGAGCCCCACGCCACAAGCGCTGGCCACTGGCATCAGGAAGGCACTCCAGCCCCATGGCTGCTGCTGAGTCAGCCACCTGGCGCTTGCCCCATGCAGCATCCCGGGGCTGGGCTCCTCCCAACGGGGCTGGCTCTGCGTGGAGCCAGGCATCGGCAAGGGCTCTTGGGAACTGATGCCACCAGACTCCTGCCTCAAGCCTGAGTGGAAAGCACCTGAGGACTGGGGATCAGGACCTGACCTGGGGCTGGGATCAGGCCCACGTGCACATGACTGCTTTCTTTGGAAGCCAGCTTGAACCCTAGCCTTGTGAGAGCTTCCTGTGCCCAGCAGAAAGGAAATCAAATAAACCACACTGGCTACCTGTGCTTACTGAGTGTATAGTTACTGGCTTTGTGTCACTTTAAGTGCAAAGCTGTGTTCAGGGAAGAGACAGGTATGCCCACCTCTGATAACCCACAAACCTGGTATGAATCATAAAATTGCTCTATATAATGTAGATTTATTCATGCTATAAAAGGACCTTGAAGTTCCTGCTTGTGAGCTAAGGACAATTTTAGTTTAAATATAGAGACTTGCTTTCCTTCAAAGATACAACTGCAGCATTAGACAGACCATCTGATCTCCCAGGAATCTGAGGGGCTGGGGAAGTCAGTATTTACTGAGAAGAGGTTCATGTGCAAATGCAGGGCCCTGTCGGAAGTCTTTGGAAATCTGTTCCCAAACTTCATTACCACTTTTAAAATATTGGCCTGGAATTTAGGCTGAGTTGACTGAAACCCAGACTTGTCTGTTAGTAGCATGTGGGCTGGTGGTGGGAAGGTGCTGCCCGCACGCCTCTGTTTCCTTGAAAGCTCCGGCTGAAAGGCGTTTGGGCTCCACATCCCTCATCTCCACTCCTCATAACAGCCCTGAGGAGTGGACATTTCCCTCGTTCCATTTCCCTGGTGAGGAAACAGGCTCAAGAGTTGAAATGATTTCTCAGGGTCACATAGCTAGTGAGGGGCAGAACTGGAACAAAATTAGAAGGGATTGATGAGCATAAGCACTTAGACCTAGACTCATGAAATTCATCAGCCACCTCATATGAGATTCATAGTAGTAGAGAGGTTAGAATTCAGTGATAATTGTTCTCCAAATCTTGGTGTGATTATATTCTTTGAGAACTGTTCTAAAACTGGATTATGGTGATGGCTGCCTGAAATAACCACTTGCCCCAGGAGGTTAAGTAAAATAATTGGGCATGCACTGTTTCATACATGTTTTTCTTCATAGTACCAAAGGAAATAGATTAGCCCATGAACTAAGAACCTGGTTGTACATTAGAACCACATGGTGTGCTTCTAAAATGAAATTGCTCAGGCCCCACCCCCAGAAATTCCCCTAAATTGGTTTCTAGAATAAAGCCCAAGCAGGAGGAGGTGTTAGAAGCTCTCCAGGCGCCGCCAGTGTGTACCCGTTTGGAGACTGCAGGATTGCAGGAACGGGGTCCCCCATAGCTGGAGTGCAATCAGGAACATCCTCATGCATTGTGGAGAGGCTGGAGAAGCAAGACAAGCCTGGAAGTGAGGAAGGAAGAGGAGGAGAAGTCCAAGCTGTAGGCAGACAAGAGTGAGAGGGATGCATGGGCTTCAGAAGTACAGGTTGTTGAAGAAAGAGGAGGAAGACCCTGTTGCAGGGCAGGGAAAATAGGTTCCTTTTCGTAGCCTTAGGGGTGAGGGGGTCAGGGGGCAGAATTAGGGACAAAGATTCACTAAACGTCTACGTGCTATTAAACACCACATGTGTGTCCTTTCATTCCCACACAACCTGAAGCCACCTTTTGAAGAGGATGTGAGGCTATTGACTGTTCTGGTGAAGCCTTGTTTCAGATGGAGCAGGGCAGGGCGTGGTTAAAGATGGATCTGTTTGGGGTTAGGAAGGCAGGGAGCTCTTGCATGGTCCGGAGATGAGCAAAGCAGCAGGTGCATGTCCTCGGCCATCGGGCGAGTCAGGAGCTGGGCTTTCTTTGGCAGTTGGGCTGGAGATTCCTGAGAACTTGAGAGCTGAGTATGTAAAAACCAGTTTGAAAGGCACTGGGAAGAAATCCTGATTCTGAAGGCATAGGTGGGGCAGAAGGGAAGCTCTGTAATTACCCAGCTCAAGACAGTGAAGCCTAGGGATGTCACAGTCATTTCTTCTGCTCACCCTCCCATGGGGCTGCAGTTTCTATTAAGGACAATAATTATGTTAACTAATCATTCTATGGCTCAGTGGCTAGATGGGAGAGAACAGAAGCTTACGTAAGGCTTTCCCTCAAAGATACAACTGCAGCATTGGACAGACCATATGATCTCCCAGGATTCTGAGGCACTGGGAAGGTCAGTATTTACTTAGAAGAGGTTCATGTGCAAATGGAAAGCCCTGTAGAAAGGCCTTGGAAATCTGTTCCCAAACTTCATTCCTACTTTTTACAGATCCAGCTGTTCCTGATGTGCTGGGGAAAGTTCAGCGTTCAGTTTGTAGATGTTCTGGGTGACTGAAGAGTCAACGTGGGAAGCCAGGTTGAAGCCAGAGTCTCACACAACACCCTGAGTGGCAATAGGGCCACCTAGGATGGCGAGTGAGTCACACCCCCCCACCACCAGCTCCAGACAGAGTTAACGCCCCAGCAGGCTGGGTGGCCAGCCTCCTGGTGTCCTTCCTGGGGATCAGAAGTGACAGAAGGGTGGGGTGGGAGAAGACACTGAGCAGATGTGCTGCACAGGTTTTACCTACATTCCCTTTTTGCATCACCCTCATGTGCCTTCCCCTCCAGCTCCTGGACTGAGGAGAGTTGCTGAAGAAGTTTGTGCAGGGAAGGAATAAAGGATTATGCAAGAATTTGAGAGCCAAGGCAGAATGCAACTGGCCCCCAGGCCCAGGTGGGCCAGCGGTAAGAACTGAAGGTTTTCCCTCTGGACCATATAGCCACAGCTCATTTATGGGACATGTTCTCAGACACTGTTCTGAGTTTTATGTACTTCAACTCATGAGTTACATGTAGTCACACAAAGAGTTAAATGTTAATGCAACTTCCCTGTGAATAGAAAGGAACAAAATAAAAACATTGTGTTGTATACAAGTCTTCAGAAAATAAACTCGCGGGATTCATTTTACTAAGAATTCTAAGGAAGTAGATGACAGGGTTAGAGTCAGTGAGGTGGTCTCAACATTCATTACCCTGGAACAAGAATCCTAGATGTTCAGCAAAGTATGAGGCCATTTGGAATAAGAACTACATTTCCCAGCTTCCTTCACAGGTAAGCATGAGAATGTGATTAAGTTGTAGCCAAGGGGTTGTAGTTAGATGTACACCTCTGACATCATTTTTCCTTTTTCCTGGAATGCAGGTATAAGAACTGAAGCTCCAGTAGCCATCTTGGGCCCTGAGATGACACTGGGGAAAGGAAGTTTTCTAGAACAAGATGACACTATGGGCACAAAAACTATCCCACCTCTAGACTTCTTGAATATAAAAGACATATCCACTTCTATGTTGTTTAATCCACTATTACTATGAGATTTTTCTTTTATAACCAAGTCTAAATGATAAAATAATCAAGTGAATCGGCAAACATCAAGATAAACCTTTTCAGAGTTTGAATAAAACACTCTTTTAAGAAAATCTTGGCCGGGCATAGTGGCTCATGCCTGTAATACCAGCACTTTGGGAGGTCGAGGCGGGCAGTTCTCGAGCCAGGAGTTCAAGACCAGCCTGGCCAACATGGTGAAACTCCTTCTCTACTAAAAATGCAAAAACTTAGCCAGGTGTGGCGGTACATGTCTGTAATCCCAGCTATTCAGGAGACGGAGGCAGGAAAATTGCTTAAGCCTGATAGGTGTAGGTTGCAGTGAGCTGAGATCATGTCACACTGCACTCCAGCCTGGGCGACAGAGTGAGACTTTGTCCATCCTCCTCTCCATCCTCCCCTCCCAGCTCACTCCTCCCAGTCACGTCCAGCCTTCTTTCTTCTCTACTGTTGTAGGTTTGCCCAGCTGCTCCCGGCCTCAGAACCTGTGCACTTGCCCTTTCCTGATTAAGGAAAATGTACACCACTCCTGAGCTCCCAGTCACATGTGACTGAGTCCCTCTGATTTTTCTGCTGTGGCCCAGATTTCATCCGCACAAGAGATCTTTCCTGCTCACCTGAATATTCACTCTTCCCCCAGACATTCACTTTCGCTAATTCTATTCCTACCACCTGTCACTATTGGAATTTTTCATTTCTTTTTTGTTTATTTTGTCTTCCCCACTTAGAATACAAATTCCATGAGGGTAGGTGTGATGGTTAATACTGAGCGTCCACTTGACTGGATTGAAGGATGCAAAGTAGTGATCCTGGGCATGTCTGAGGGTATTTGTTGCCAAAGGAGATTAACATTTTGGTCAGTGGCTGGGACAGGCAAACCCACCCTTAACCTGGGTGGGCACCATCTAATCAGCTGCCAGAATATAAAGCAGGTGGAAAAACAGGAAAAGGCTAGACTGGCCTAGCCTCCCAGCCTGCATCTTTCTCCCGTGTTGGATGCTTCCTGCCCTGGAACATCAGACTCCATGTTCTTCAGCTTTGGGATTTGGACTGGCTCTCCTTGCTCCTCAGCTTGCAGATGACCTATTGTGAGACCTTGTGATCATGTGAGTTAATACTACTTAATAGCATTTTACATATATATATGCCCTATTAGTTCTGTCCCTCTAGAGAATCCTGACTAATATAGTAGGGAATGAATTCGTCATATTCATTTCAGTCTTCCTTAGGACAGTAATAAATATTGGTTTCATGATGACTGAATGAATAACAGCCACACAAGCATTTGCACACCTGCTCTTCTTGGCAGACCTTTGACATAAAATTCTAAGCTCTCGCCTGCAAAGTCACAGTGCCCAAAAAACTTTCATTCATTTCCTGCAAGCTCTCTGGATACTGGGGTAGAAATTCCTGCAGCGAACCTGAACCTCTACTTACTTTTGCCTCCCCATACTCTGTCCTTTCCCTGCCCCTGAGGATCAACCCCTGCAGGCATCTATGTGACCCGCCAAGAAGAGAGGAGGAACGGGAAACACTCAGGAAAGTGGGAGATGAGGGGGTTGCTTGCAGTGCAGGAGCCCACGGGGAAGGGGCTGTAGTCATTAGTTTAAAGGAAATGGATGATGAAATGAGTGCTCAGCAAGATGCAGGAGACAGAAAGCCAGATCCGCCCAGGGTGCGGCTCCAGCACAGGGGTGGGGAGAGGCTCTCAGGCTAGGGCTTGGTCAGTGTCTGTGGGATCTGAACTGGACAGGGTGAAAACCAAGGATCCAAGACAACTTAAGTGGGTTAGGCAGAAGGACTCTCAGCACCCTCAGCGCAATTGGGGGTCAAAGGGCCATGCGATAGAGACAAGAGGGTGAGAAGCTCCAAGGAGAGCCAGCAGTGGGCATGAGGAGCTGCCTATGCCTGCGGGATCAGAGGCGCAGCAGTCCAGGGGGTGGCAGGGCTGAGCCAGGCTATGCCATGGGTGACTCGAGTGGAGTGGAGGTGAGAATCTTCTGATCAGAGTCACGGTGGGGGAGGTCAGGGCAGTGTACCGGTCATTCACAGGAACACCAGGGTCATCCAGGACAGCGGAAGGACCTGGAATACAGAAGAGCTCTTCAAGAAAAGGGGAAAATGCATCATGGGGAGATGACAGCCACTAGGAAGGCTGGAGGTGACCCAGAAACCTGTCATGAGGCTCACAGGAGCAGGGCGCTTCCCTGAGTGGAAGCCATCATCAGGGATGGGAACACCCATCCTGCCCCTTGACCTCTGCAGCCTTCACCAGAGAGGGAAGGGCCAGCGGTAGTCTATTGCAGACAGGTCTTAGGGAACAAGGAGCATGTTATGGGTCCTTCTGGGGACAGACTAAGCGTTTAGTGGCTTCTATTAGGGTCGTCTAACTGCTGCATCCACCAACCCCAAATCTTAGGTTCCACACTATAAAGTTGTGTTTCTTACTCCTGTCACAGAGCAGTCAAGGGTTCGAGGGTGGCCTTCCACAGGGGCATTCAGGGATCCAGGCCATTTCTGCTGGATGCTCTGCATCGGGCCAGGAGTTGAGGGAAGAGAAATCACAGAGAATATGAGGGTGATCTCAGAGTTAGGCCTGCAAGTGGCACACATCGCTCTGTCCATTTTTTTTTTCTCCTTTTGAAACATGGTCTCATTCTCTTATCTAGGTTGTTGTGCAGTGGTGTAATCTCGGCTCATTTCAGCCTCAACTTCCTGGGCTCAAGCGATTCTCTAGCCTCAAACCCCCGGCAAGTAGCTGGAACTACAGGCATACAGGCCACAACGCCTGGCTAATTTTTGTATTTTTGGTAGAGATGGGGTTTCACCATTTGCCCAGGCTGGTCTTAAACTCCTGGACTCAATCAATCTGCCCAACTCAGCCTCCTAAAGTGTTGGGATTATAGGTGTGAGCCACCATGCCTGACCCATGCTGAGCTAATTTTTAAATATTTTTTGGGTAGAGTTGGGGTCCCACTATGTTGCTCTAGCTGGTCTCAAACTCCTGGCCTCAGCCCTCTTGCCTCAGCCTCCCATAATGCTGGGATTATGAGTCTGAGTCACTGCACCCGGCCTCTCCATATGTCTATGATCAGCCCCATGGACAGCTGTGGCCCAGTCAGTCTGCACTCTGTGGAGGACATCTGCTCAAATAAAAGCCTGCTTTGGGGAAGGCTCTGTCTTCAGGATCCCAGAGAAACTTGAGGCTTCTCCATGAGGGGAAAGTGGGTGGGCTGAGGTGATTCTAGTTTATCCTCATATAAAAATCTCTGCCCACAGAATGGGACACTGCAGTCATTAACTAGAAAGATAAATACTTACATTCAGAAACAGAGAAGTGCCTGTAACATTGTGCTGACTTGTAAGGAAGAGAGAATGTAGTTTATGTAAAATGGAGACACACAAATACTTCTTTAGGCACCTGCACATATGTATCTGCAAGAATGTTCACTGAAATGTTACTACCGGAATCACAGATGTTTTTCTTTATTCTCAGTACTTTTACAATTTATACAATCTACTGATTAGATCACCTTTATATAAAGAGAAACAAAAAGAAAAGCCACACACAAAAAAAGTCTGAGAAACAAACTAAAAATCCCCAAACCCCAGTTCACCTAGAAAAAAAGTGACCCAAACTGTAAGCAAATTAACGGTCAGGGTTTTTAAACTCAGGCCCAGTTCTGAGATGCACATTGTTACAGGTGCGGTCTTGTGCCACTGTTAATTCCACAGCTCATTTAGCGGCAAGCTTGCCCACAGCACATCTCCATAGAAATGGAACCCGCAGGGACTGGAGGATGTAATTACCCGAGGATATGGCAAAGAGAGGAGAGGAGTTCTCACACCAACAAGAAAGGTGAGCCTGGGGTCTTCAAAGGCAGCCCGCCCAGGGCCTGCCACGTGGCTTCCAAGTGGGCACACTTCAGGGCTGGGTGAGAAATGCTTGGAAACCTGGGTGCTCCCTTCTGGGCGGCTTATAAAAGCCACCCCAGGTCCGGCTCCTTAAGGAGGGGTGACGGGGACGGGGACGGGGATGAAGCCAGGCAGGAAGGGCAAGGGATCAGACCAAGCCAATGCTCGCCGCCTCCATCTTCCGTCCGACACTGCTGCTCTGCTGGCTGGCTGTTCCCAGGCCCACCCAGCCTGAGAGCCTCTTCCATAGCCGGGATCACTCGGACCTAGAGCCATCCCCACTGCGCCAGGCCAAGCCCATTGCTGACCTCCACGCTGCTCAGGTAGGAGAGGCCAGAAAAGCAACACCCCCAGGCACACAACGTGCACACAGGCACGTGCACATACGCACATGTGCACAGGCCAGGATGCCAGCTGTGTGGAGGCAGAGAAGGGCCAGGCAGGCTGGGCTGGGAGGGAGGAGTAGCTCCTGTGGCTCCTGTTGGAACAACCATGAATCGATGCTTAACCCGATTCGACAACCCCACAGGTCAGCCCTAGTGAGAGAGAAATGCCAATGCACACAGACAACAGACTCGAATGCCAAGTGCCTTTTCAAAGGCAAGCATGTGGTACTGTAGTGGCCAAGGCACTGTCCGAAGGTATTCTGTGGCTGCTCACATGCCAGTCTCTGGATGTAGAGAAGGGGATGGCCCTGCAAGGTTCCCTAGCACAGCAGTAGTGGGATCCTAACAGAGCTGTCTGGGGTGGCATCTGTGGACTTCGCCAGAGTCTGTGGTGAAGCACCCAGGAAGTCCAGTGCAGGCGATCCCCTCCTCCAGAGAGTCGTGGTGGGGGCAGGGAGTGGACTGATGAGGCCCCTTGACCTGCCCTGGCATTTGGTCCTATGGTCAGGGTCAAGTCCAATTCCCAGCTCTCAGGGTGTCCCAGAGGCCAGCGCAGGGAACAGGAGAGCCGTCCTGTAGCCAGGCTCTTAGCAGCGTGGAGCCCGCTTCCTTCCCTCCCTTTGCACAGCCATGAGGAAGCCCCCAGGTCCTCAGACCCAACCACTGCCAAACCCCTCAGTTCGAATTCGCAGCCCTCAGGACAGGCCTCTCCAAGGCCTTCTCTGTGGTGTGGCCACACCCGGCCTTCCTTGGCACCCCCACCCAGCCCCGCATGGCCTCAGGGAGCGCCCTCCCCATTCCTCCTCCTTGGCATACATGAAAGCAATGTTATGTAACACCTCACAGGCAAACAGCTTGAACTGAAGCCCCAGGATCTTATAGCCTGTCAGCTGGTTCCCTCGAAGCTAAGTCAAGGCTTCTTTAAGGTCTTTGATAGCCAAATCGTATCTTCAATTCACTAAGCCACTGAGCCTCTTCCACTGCGAAGGGGACAGGCAGAAGCACAGGATTCCTGTTCCCTGGCAGCTGCAATTTCCACCGTGTCCTGTTGCCTGTTTGGGACCTCTCACCTCCTCCCGGCCCACGCTCACCCAGCTGCCCAGTCTTCTCAGGCCCTGTGGTGCCTCTGACCCGGCCTGGCGCCCATCCAAAGACTCAGGACTGCTCCTAGGACTCACTCCTATCTCTGTCTCTCACTGCCTTTCTCTATAGACCTCGGTCTCCCTGTCTGCCTATTTCTATTGCTCTCTCCGTCTGTTTCTCCCTGCCTGTCTCTCTGCTTCCGTCTGTCTCTGTCTGTCTCTCTCTGTCTCTGTTTGTCTCTCTATCTGTCTCTGTCTCTCGAGGCTTTGGGGCAGGGCAGCCCGGGTGGCGGAAGGCCAGGTGGGAGGTGGCCCCGGATTAGGGTGCGTTTCTCTCCCGCAGAGGTTCCTGTCCAGATATGGCTGGTCGGGGGCGCGGGCGGCCTGGGGGCCCAGCCCCGAGGGGCCGCTGGAGACCCCCAAGGGCACCGCCCTGGCGGAGGCGGTGCGCAGGTTCCAGCGGGCGAACGCGCTGCCGGCCAGCGGGGAGCTGGATGCGGCCACCCTGGCGGCCATGAACCGGCCGCGCTGCGGGGTCCCGGACACGCGCCTGCCACCCCCTGCTGCCCCGCGTGCGCCCCCGGGCCCGCTCCCCAGAGCCCGCCCCAGGCGCTCCCCGCAGGCACCGCTGTCCCTGTCCCTGTCCCTGTCCCGGCGGGGTTGGCAGCCCCGGGGCTCCTCCAACGGTGGGGCCGTCCAGGCCTTCTCCAAGAGGACGCTGAGCTGGCGGCTGCTGGGCGAGGCTCTGAGCAGCCAGCTGTCCGCGGCGGAGCAGAGGCGCATCGTGGCCCTGGCCTTCAGGATGTGGAGCGAGGTGACGCCGCTGGACTTCCGCGAGGACCTGGCCGCCCCCGGGGCCGCGGTCGACATTAAGCTGGGCTTTGGGAGAGGTAAGAGCGCCTCGGGGACCCCGGCGCGCCTCCCTCACACCCTGCGTCTGCCACCTGCAGAATGGGGGGTGCTTAGCCCTCCCAGCCTGTCCCAAGGGCACCTGTCAGCAGGGCAGGCGGAGCCTCTGGTCAGTGCAGTCTTGTTAGAATCGCGGTCACCCTGCAGAGAGCCTGGTGTGGCCTGTGGCGACACTAGGGCTAGCCCTGCGTACAGGCTGCTGCCCGGCCTGCTCCTCAAAGCGCCAGGCAGGCCCCCTGCCTGTGCCTCAGGCTTCCCCAGGGAGCAGGGGCCTCAGGACAGGGCGGGGTCAGACACAGGTGCCACCACCTCCCCCATGCAACTGGACAAATGACTGAGCCGCTTTGCAGCCCCATCTGTGACCCAGGGGTGCTCAGGGCTGTCTTCTGGTCTCACTGGGTTAATGTCCCAGCATGAGAAATACAGGGACACGGTTGGCTGAAAAAAAACAAATGTAAGGGACCCAGCCTCCACTACTTCATGTCCTTTGCAGAGGTGAGGATCCGCCTAGATCTTGCCTGGATGAGGCCTTTGTGCCGCCTTCCCAGGCCCCCAGCTGGGCTCTTACCCAGCCCCGCTCCCCTCCGCTCCCCTCCGCTCCCAGGCACTTGGTGCCTGCTGGTCTCTGACAGTCAGTGGACTGAAAACAGCTTATAAACAAACCATTTCCCACCTTCCTCGCGTTGAGGGCTTAATCCAGGAGCTGTCACTCTGCCTGCCTCTGCTGCTGGTTCCTGGAGGCTGGGGACCCTGTCATGTACTCTAGGTGAGGCATCTGTATGAGGCGTACTCATCCTTCACTGGGACCACCTCCTTCTCCCCATCTCCAGGCCGGCACCTGGGCTGTCCCCGGGCCTTCGATGGGAGCGGGCAGGAGTTTGCACACGCCTGGCGCCTAGGTGACATTCACTTTGACGATGATGAACACTTCACACCTCCCACCAGTGACATGGGCATTAGCCTTCTCAAGGTCAGTGGTCCTGAGCTGCTCATGTTGATAAGGCACCAGCAGTGCTGACGGGCCGACGTCCAAAAAGTCCAAGCTTTTCCCAGGAAGTGTCCGCATTCTCTGAGGAGGCAAATCCGTGTCTGGCCAGGGTTCCCTAGGTCCACTAGCGCTCCCCTCTTCACAAGCACAGGCCTCCCATCTGTAACGCAGGGATCCGTCGCCCAGGCTTCACCCAGCGCCATGGTGTGTGTTCCCCTTCTAGGTGGCAGTCCATGAAATTGGCCATGTTCTGGGCTTGCCTCACACCTACAGGACAGGATCCATAATGCAACCAAATTACATTCCTCAGGAGCCTGCGTTTGAGTTGGACTGGGCGGACAGGAAAGCGATTCAAAAGCTGTACGGTAAGAATGCCGGGGAGGGCATCCCCGAGCTCACGGAGGACAGACAGTGTTCCTGAGCACAGCAGGACCCCGCTCACTCCTCACTGGGAGCCTGGGCCCGAGAGCACAACGTTGTACCACTGCGCCACCCAAGAGTAGCCACCCTCTGGCTCCATGATGCTGCTGTCTTAGTAAAACGTGGTTTTGCCCAGCTGACTGCCGTCACTCCTGTGTCCTCTCTTCCACTTGCCACGTGCATTTCTTAGGAGGACAGTGAACACAGTGGTTTTCTCAACACAAGCTCCCCCTCCCCCCGCCACTGTGCTGTGGCATCCCACCAGAGACACACACACTGGAAGCCCTGGGAATTTACTGCAATCCCATGGCAAAGAGCAGCTTAGCCTGGCCAGGATAAGCTCCAATTTATTTAAAATGTCAGGCCAAATGTTCTAGTGGTTATTTAATTAAAGTGGTTAGTGATTTAGCACAGAGGCCAAGGGAAGAAAGCTGTCCTTCTCTTCTCCATTAGAGGTCCCTAGGCTGGGCACGGTGGCTCACGCCTGTAATCCCAGCAGTTTGGGAGGACAAGATGGGCAGATCTTTGATGTCAGGAGTTCGAGACCAGCCTGGCCAACATGTTGAAACCCTGTCTCTACCATAAAGACTATCAAACAAAAAAGTCCTTAACAGAGGTCACCGCATTTCGGTTCTCACACCCCCATTCTCAGCACTCTGTGTCTTTGGACATAAGAACTGCCAGGACACACTGAGTTGCCGCAGTGGAAATCTTGCTCTGACGTGAGCCCAGAATTAAACTTCTCTCTAGTGAAGTCAAACTGCTGTCGAGCTGTCAAGGGAGGCATTCACGAGCTATATTTAGGGTGGTCAACTGTAAATAACTGCATCCAAATTGAGACACTTCCGAGAGCGGCCGGGGGCACGTGAAGGACGAAGGATGGTGCCCGTGAGCCAGGGCTGCAGCAGGCATGCTGGTGCCTCCGGCTCCCTCTGCTCAGCCACCTCAATCTTTTTTTTTTTTTTTTAAGATAGGATCTTACCCTGTCGCCCAGGCTGGAGTGTCTCAGTTCATTGCAGCCTCGGTTTCTCAGGCCCAAGTGATCCTTCCACCTCAGCCTCCCAAGTAGCTGGGACCACAGGCACCATGCATGGCTAATTTTTGTTTTTGTTTTTTTTTGTAGACTGGGTTTCACCATGTTGCCTAGGGTGGTCTTGAAGTCTTGGGCTCAAGCAGTCCTCCTGCCTCGGTCTCCCAAGGTGCTGGGATTACAGGACTGCGCCACTGCACCTGGCGCTGCTTCAGTCTTACGTGGTGTCTTGCTTAAAGGTGTTTTTGTAGAAAGCCCCAGCTTTGCAACTGTCTTCGTTCAAGTCACACATGAAAAGATAAGTTTTTGCACCATATGACAAAAGGGTTTTTTTTTTTTTTTTTTTTTAAGGCTCCTGTGAGGGAACATTTGATACGGCATTTGACTGGATTCGCAAAGAGAGAAACCAATATGGAGAGGTGATGGTGAGATTTAGCACGTATTTCTTCCGCAACAGCTGGTACTGGCTTTACGAAAACCGAAACAATAGGACACGCTATGGGGACCCTATCCAAATCCTTGTTGGCTGGCATGGAATCCCAACACACAGCATAGATGCCTTCGTTCACATCTGGACATGGAGAAGAGATGAACGTTATTTTTTTAAAGGTACAGATTCTTCATGCATGGTTCTATTTCTCTTATTAAACAAATGCAGTCAGAAGGAAGGTCTTGAGCCCCTACCAAGAAATCTGTTGTAGTGCTCTTATCCTCACTTGCTTAATTTCTGCTCTATCAGACTGGAAGCTCTGAGAGCACAAGGATTGGGTTCTATTATTTTTTGTTTGTTTGTTTCTGTCACCCAGGCTGGAGTGCACAATCATGGCTTACTACAGCCTCAACCTCCTGGGCTTAAGTCATGTTCCCACCTCAGTCTCCTGAGTAGCTGGGATCACAGGCTCATGCCACTACACCTGGCTTAATTAAAAAAAATTTTTTTTTTTTGTAGAGATGGGGGTCTCACTAAGTTGGCTAGGCTAGTCTTGAACTCCTGGCTTCAAGCTGTTTTCCCACCTTGGCCTCTCAAAGTATTGGGATTACCACTGACCCAGCCCCCTGATCTTTTTAAGAAGGCACTTAAGTCCCCGAATGAGTGAATGAATTCTGCTAGGCATTAAGGGGGTTGCCAAAAAACTGTAACAAAGGGCCCTGCCTGCAGGAGTTTTAATCTGGTTCTAGAGGAAAAGAAAACACCTTGGAAGCCTAGGAACAGAAGTGTTTTTAAGCGTTGGCCAAGCAGAAGAGGTGATTACTGTCACCTGGAATTGGGTGCTGGTGCCCCCAGGAATCAGGTCTTGGCCTAGACTCAAGAATGGGTGGGATCTGGGATGCCCAGAAAAAGGTACCCAGAATGGTAAGTGGATAAGGGTGTGGAAGTGTCAGAGACAAGCAGCAGAAGCCAAGCCATGGGGCTGGGAGACTGGGGTCCATCGGAGTTGGCGACAGAGTCACACAGGATGAGATCAGGCTAGAAAGATGGGTTGGCCCAACCACGGAGAGCCTCAAATGCCAGGGCCAGGGGCTGGACTTCACTGGGCAGGCCATGAAGAATCAATAGCAATTTCTCAACAGGGAAGGTCAATGTTTTGCTGGAAGGCAGAAGCTGATGTGGTGGAGCCTGGGGGGTCATGGGGAATACACAAAGAAAGGCAGGTCTGGGACTCTCTTGCTGTCACTGCTCCTTACTCACCCGGTCTCATCCAGAACCCTGGGCCTGGTACACGAGTCATGCTGCCTTTGCAAAACCAGATAACACAGAGTCCAATCACAAACACGATTTGTGGTCACTGCTTTTTCCTTCCCCTTTCCTACCCAGAGTCAAGTTGTGTACTCCTTCTGCCTGAATCCTAGTAATATTACCATAGGGCTTTAAATTGCTCAAAAAGACTTGAGGTGAGAGCCAAACTGAATTAACTTTATATGCAAATTTTACCATAAAGATCCTGTATATACTTTTGGTTTTAATTTTCCTTCATATCACACAAAAGAAGAATTAGTTCAGTTATGTAAAGAAATTGTGGACTTTTATATTTTATAGTTCAGGTCTTCCAGTGGTGGCGGCACATCTTTCAGGGCCTTAAGAAGTCCCAAACTAGAATTTATGTTGGCAACACTCAAAGAATCTTACTCATGGAATTAGGTCATCATAGGAGAACTCCTACAATACAGCTGTATTTTATTCTTGAAGCTTTAAAAACATCTTAATTTGCTATGAAAATTTTGGATTAGAAGAAATTCCTGTCAGAGTGAATTGCATCTCTAACTGGACATACATCACATTGTTCTCAATGGTGAAATTTTCCAAACATATTAAATATTTGGTTGCTAAGGAACGTACTGCTTGGGGTGCTCTGTGAGTTGTGAACACCAAACAAATGTGTTTAAGTGGATTTAGTCTATTCTATGTTGGCAAGAAGCCAAATATTCAGGATTAGGAACCAACAAGAGCCTAAAATAACCCCCTGCTGATTTAGAGCACGAAATTAGCATTTGAACTTTGAAACAAAATGGAGCAAGTTCCATTTCACAGGACAGTGGGGAAGTCTCTCTGGAGTGGAATTTGAGAGTCCTGGCCTGCATTCCTGGTCAGTCGCTTCAGCTCTCTCTATTCCAGTGTCCTTATTTGTAAAATGGGCGTGGTGGTGGGACTAGATGACTCTAAAACCAAGGTATAATCCAATCATAAGGATCATGATTTCTTCTGCAAAAAGAGGGCTTATACTGATTAGGATAGGAAAATGATTCCAAGCCTTGGGCCACGAACATTAAAAGGAACAGCTTTAGACTATAAAGGAAGAAGAAAAAAAATTAAGATACTCAGGTAAAAAAGACATTAGTTTCGCTGTTTTGTTTTTGCTTTTGATTAGAGCCAATAATGTAGTGATGTTCACAGGATGGGGTTTGCTTTTGCTGTGAAAGGCAACCAACATTCCAACGGCAGCAACGATGTCCAAGAAAAATGCATTCCCTGGGCTAAATCTAAAAGTCATTCCAGACCTGGGACATCACTGAGTGGAGGCTTCTCTCAGATGCTGAGAGCCCCGCTTCCTCCTAGAACCGTGGCAACACGCTGTACAGGATTGCTGAGACCTATCTTGAAAACTCTCCTCTTTGTCACATTTCCTGTGATTTAATATTGATGAACCACATGAATTTATTTTCGTTGGCTCTCAGGAAATCAATACTGGAGATATGACAGTGACAAGGACCAGGCCCTCACAGAAGATGAACAAGGAAAAAGCTATCCCAAGTTGATATCCGAAGGATTTCCTGGCATCCCAAGCCCCCTAGACACAGCCTTTTATGACCGAAGAAAGAAGTTAATTTACTTCTTCAAGGAGTCCCTTGTAAGTAAAGGCTCTTCAGCCTAGCATTGCTTCTATCATCCCAAATAGAGATTTGTCAGATGACCAAGTTTGTATTTAAAAGCTGTACTTGGCCTGGCACAGTGGCTCATGCCTATATAATCCCAGCACTTTGGGAGGACGAGGCGGATCACTTAGCCCAGGAGTTTGAAACCAGTCTGGGAAACAGTGAAACCCATGTTTTGGTCTCAATAAAAAATACAGAAATTATCCAGGTATAGTGGCACATGCCTGTGGTCACAGCTGCCCGGGAGGCCGAGGCAAGAGGATCACTTGAGCCTGGGAGGTCGAGGCTGCAGTGAGCTGTGACTGCACCACTGCATTACAGTCCAGCCTGGGCAAGAGTGAGCCCGGTTCCCCAAAAAAAGAAAAACAAAAAACCTGTACTCACGTCAGATCTAAATAGCAATGACAGAGCATTGCAGATGAAAAATTTGGATGTTCAAGTCTAAAGAATTTGGTACAAAGTCTGAGTTACTTATCTCATTGTTATAAATTAACCTAAAATATGAATAATTTTCAGAAGAGCCAGTCTATCTAATTTGCTTTGCAGGTATTTGCATTTGATGTCAACAGAAATCAAGTACTTAATTCTTATCCAAAGAAGATGACTGAAGTTTTTCCAGCAGTAATACCACAAAACCATCCTTTCCGAAATATAGATTCTGCTTATTACTCCTATGCATACAACTCCATTTTCTTTTTCAAAGGCAATGCATACTGGAAAGTAGTTAATGACAGGGACAAACAACAGAATTCCTGGCTTCCTACTGATGGCTTATTTCCAAAAAAGTTTATTTCAGAGAAGTGGTTTGATGTTTGTGATGTCCATATCTCTACACTGAACATGTAATGAGAAAAAAATGGAAAATGGAGAGTCAAGTCATAGGACTTCGCTAAGACAAAAATTCTGACATTGTTTACAAAGAAAACCAGATTTTCAGTAGCTGAGGCAAATATGGCTCTGTAAGTTAAAACCCAGTGGAAAAAGCCTTAGTTGAACTTTTAAAAGACTTGATTTAAAAATCAGTTGCTCAGATAAAACATAATTCATAACCTAGAAAGGTTAAAAACAAAACAAAAAAACAAAACTAAGCATCCAAAGATCTTTGTCTGCTTGCTGCTCTGTGGGGCTCTGCCCATCCCAACTGCTTGCCCACCTGATTTATGGGAGTTGGAAAGGTGACCAGAGCCATGGGTCAAGCTATCAAGGAAGGAGACGCCATGGATATGATCTTACTGAGGGATTCGACTGGAAAGGTCACGGAATTCAAATGAATTGCACTCCAAGGTCCCTGTCAGAATGACATTTCTCTAATGACAGTATATAAAAGGCTTTCAAGTGCATTTCTCTCTTGATCTTCACAACTCTGTCAGCGCGGCAGGATGGATACTATCGTACACATTTCCAGTCATATTAACCAAAGTTCATCTGTTGGATCCGGCCAAAAGTCAAATGCAGTGGCAGCTCTGGGCCCTCATCTCCAAATTCCAGCCCAGGGTCCTCTGCACTTCCTCTGTATCACCGTGGTGGTGGCTGGCCCTGCAGTGCGTTGCGCCATCTGGTTTGAACACACAGGCCTGCAACCCAAATGGTCCTGAACAGAACAACTCTTCTGGTTCACTGTAATTCACTTAGTGTTCTCTCCTGGCACTTTATATGACAGTTTACTTAGGTTCTAAAGACCAGACTACCAAAAGGAGACTCTTGAAGCTAGTTGGATAATTTTATTTTTCCATTTATGTCTAGGATAGGCATATGTCCCTTCCACTTTTACATAATACGGCTATTAACTCTTAACCCGAATGAAACCCAATGTCATTTGTAATGAAGTGAACAAAACCCAGGCGATGAAATGAACTAAAATGGTTTCAGTAGCCTCAATGATCAGGCCACAAATACCAAATTTCTTCTTCTAAAGTAACAGCTAAAACACAGGTAGGTTAAAAATAGCAAATTACAAATACACGTTTTAAGGATCTTTTTCCCCCTATAGGAACTTTCGTGTTATTGCTTTAACAAAGGAAGATGGCTATAATTTATACTTACATAAGAACAAATTTTCCTCTTGACTGAAAGGCTGTTTCAGCCAAGGAGAGGGGCTGAGAGAAAAGATAAGCAACTCTCATACCCCTAACCCCAGCTCATTCCTCCTAAGTAGAATATCCCTTTGAATTCATTAACTCAAAAGATCTTGGATTATCATCTTGGATTATAATCAACAGAAGTGTCTGGGTTTATCTAGCAGGGCAAAGACAGTTTTATTATGTGTGTACACTTGCTACAAGGGGAAACAGAGTGACAGTGGTCCTGAAATGAAATATTGCTGAATTTGTACAACTGCTTTACAATGTAGGCAAAACTTTAAATGTTTCAGTGATTAATTTTTGCAAACTGATGCAAATCTGTTCCAAGGAAAATGCAAACTAAGTAAACAACAACTAAGTGGACAAATGGTGAGAGAGAATTCTGCTAAGCTCTGATGGACATTAACTCACTGTCAATGGGCTGGGTATCGTCATTCATGCCTGTAACCCCAGCACTTTGGGAGGCTGAGGCAGGTGGATCCCTCGAGCTCAGGAGTTGGAGACCACCCTGGGCAACATGGCAAAACTCTGTCTCTAGTAAAAATGCAAAAAATTAACCAGGCATTGTGGTGCACACCTGTAGTCCCAGCTACATGGGAGGGTGAGGTGGGAAGATCCCTTGAGCCTGTGAGGCAGAGGTTGCAGTGAGCTGAGATTCTGCTACTGTACTCCAGCCTGGGTGACAGTGAGACCCTGCCTCAAAGCAAACAAAAAAACTCAGCTAATGAAAACACCTGAAAATCTCTGTAAAAGAGAAAGAAGCCTCTTTTACATCATAGCTCAGTAAAAATTTGGCTTAAAACCAGTTATTCCAGACAATTTTCTAGTATAGTTGGAATTCCTTCAGAGGTGTGGTTAGTGCGGGAGGGGCTCATGGCCACTGTGGAGGGCCTGCACAACTTGCCTCAGCTACCTACGGGCCGGCAGGGGGCTGGGTGGATCTCCAGCGCACCTGCCCCGAGGTCTAGGCAGCAGACCTAACCACAGTGACATCACACACAGGAGTCCAGACCTTTACCTCACCTTGAAAGAGCCTGTTTTACATGTTACACTGTGTTGAAGTTGAAAATATGAATTATGAACAAAAACAGCCTTGTGCACTATAGCCATTACAAATAATATGGGATGCTTGTGTGTAACTGGATAAGAGCCATGTAGCAGCAGTGATAAGGAAAATATTCTCAAGAAATTTAGTGGACAACAGAATTTTAATGTTAATGTTTTGAGCTTTACTTTGTAAAGTTTATTAATTAGACTGAGTTCACATCAAAACTCAAGGTGAAGAATGGAAACTGGAAAAATACAAAGACGTTTTAAATAAATAGTTTATTTATTCAAAATAGTTTTCTTACCTTATTCACAGTTTCAAGTTTAAAATGAAAAAAAAAAGGGATAGTACCTATTCTTGATCAACTGTCATATAAAGTCAAAAGTGAACCCTTCAGAACATGCATTAAATACAGCAAACCGCACCACAGCTAGTCTTGGAACAACCCTGCACTGAAGCTTGTAAAGAACACGCCTTTTTTCTGTGCAATTTAAAAGGAAACACTGTAGATGTACAGGAAGTCTCCTTAACCCACTTAAACCTGTAATATCATTTGGATAAAAGTTCTCTTAACCAAAGTAACATTTTATCCAAAACAATATCTTAGACCCATGTAGCTTGACACACTTTGAAAATATGTGAATGTGTAACTGCATCACAGCAAGTCTATTAACATTGAGGTACCATGTACTTCTCAAAGAAATAAATAGTGGAAGCTTTAAGGTTGATTCTGATGTTAGCACGTCAAGTGAAGATGCCACAGAACTCAACTGTAATTTGTCTGTCACTTAAAATAACTCTGTGTTTCCACTGATATGCCCGTTTTAAATGGATATTTCCCTATTATTTAATGGAACAAAGCACCGAATGAACAAACCGGCTCCGTGTTGAAGGCACTGACAGCGTGTCTGGGACGCGGCTCTGTGCAGTCACTGAATGGCGCTGCTGCTTGCTGCACTGCCGGCAGTGGCAAGCTGGCCCAGCAGGTGGACGATAACATTGATTCTTTCCAGAAGAGTCGCAGTTTTGTTTGCAGTCGCTCTCAAAAGCTGGGAGTAAATGTGCTTGTTGGTTTTGAGGACTGCGTCTTCTTCAATGTTATTGCTAGGGTTAAAAAAGAAAAGAGACAGATAAGGGACCACCAATGCCTACCAACAATTCAGAGGTCCAGAACACCGGCCAGGCATTGTGGCCTGTGACAGCCCAACAGTCACTCTTCACAGAGCAGCAGGGTTCCACTCCTGTCGAGTTCAGACCTGCCTTCTTTTATCTATCGCTCACAGGCCTGTTTCTAGACATTTATTTCAATACATCACTGAAATCCAGGACTCATTCCTTTTATAAATATTTGAATGCCTATTATGTACCAGGAACTGCTCTTGACAGAGAACAAAACAGGAAAAAGAAGCCCCTGCCTTCATGGAATTTGCATTCTCTTGAAGTAGGAGTTTGTGAGAGGGGAGTGGAGGCACTAAGGGAGACCACAGTGAACAAGAGTGTGATAGAGGCCATGAAGAAAGTGCAGTGGGCTGGGCGGGTGAGCGCAGAAGGAGCTATGCAGTACCTCCTCTGTTCCTCCAGCTCGGCCTAAAGCGCCGTCCTGTGTCACATGCACACATCTAAAGCCATTGTCGCACTGCTGTCTCTAGAGCTAGAACTACCTAGGATTTAAACACGGATTCCTGACCGACAAGAACGACTGCATCTCAATTTACCCTAAAAATGTCAGTGCAGTTCTGTATGAAGAAAGCCCCTCAGCTGAAGAGTCCTAGACAGTACTCTACTTTAAAACTATTTCACTTTACAGTTGGTCTTGAAAATATTTACCCCTTATGATGGATGGGTGAATTTCTATATCTGTTATTACTGGAAAAGACTAGTAATTAATTACATGGCAGTTCATACCTAGCATCTTTTTTTTTTTTTTTAACATGAGTCCAGGTGAAGACCCCTGGCTCACATAACCAGGTAACAGATAACAACTCCACAACGCTTTACAGTGTCCATGACCACATCTGAGCCTTACAATAATCCCATCTCCTCAGATAGGCAAGGACTAGCATTTTGATTTTACAGATGTAAAACCTAAGGCCCAGAAGGGTTAATAGTTTGGATTAAGGTCAAAATGTCATGTTTTCCAATTTCAAATGCTATGCACTTTCACCTCTTTGGGGTACAAAATTTCTCCCTTCACCCAAGTGCTTGCCAGTCAGGCCTGCCGGACAGCAGCCAACAGTGCAGAGCAGCCAACAGTGCAGAGCTCCCTTCCCCCAGGAGTTCCCCTTTTTTTCATTCCTGGCTCCATCCCTCCTCCACAGGATCCACATCCCATATCCCGTCTTTAGACATTTCTCCCCCCAATTCCCACTTCTTTTATCAGGCAAATCTCCTCCTGCCTTCCCCCAACAGCCACAGCATAGCAAAACTGACTGTTCCAAATGCATTCCCTATCTGTAATCTGAGCCTATGATCAGCTATATTTTAGTTTTTGGGGAGAGTTAATAGTCACAAAACCCTTTAATAACCTTATAGAAAATTTAAATTACTCTGACAGTAAATCAAGGCAATGGCGCTTAATATAGAAAAGGCATTTGAAAGATGAATTATTCTTTGTGGACAATGACATCACACTGCCATTTTACTAATAGTTGGGTACCTAAAGATAACTGATGGCTGCAGGGATTACAAACGTAAAATCTTTTGATTCCTAATAAAACTCTGAATCTTAAATCTTCATCTTCCAATTTCCAACTGCTACAAATTTCTACAAATCATGGTTTCCTTAATGAATTCTTATCAGTAGTTTCACTGACCTATGACCCCTATACAGAGGGCTCCATCATTTCATCATTTCATCTCCCTTTTCACTAATCTTAACCAAATATTAAATGTACACATTTAAATGGGAACAACCCATAAATCTAAAAGATTTGTTCTTGGCACTGCAGCAGAGAGCTCCCTGAATCTTCAGAGATTACTTCTACTTCTTACAGTTTTTCTTTATATTAAGTCCCAAAGCCACCAAAATGTCAAGAGGCCTGGATCTGTGAAAACAATGAGTATTAAAACACAGCAGAAAAGTAAATTCTAAAATCAAAAAGAAAAAAGAAAAAAACCTTTGGCTTAACAAACTGCTACTGCTAGAATCTGCAGGCCAATGCCAATGCGGTTGTCATACGATGATGGAACGCCTGTATAAACTGAAAATGAAAACAAAATGTTTTTAAACAAGTGCATCTTTCCCTGTAATTCTACAGGAGTCTTATAAACTTAACACTTTAATTATTAAGCCTTGTTTATTATTTTTGCCAGAGGGCATGAAGTGGAAAAAACAGTAGTCGAAAAATAAAAATTTATTTAACACAGCCTCTCAGTATCTGTGGAGGATTGGTTCTAGGACTCTCCAGAAAACTAAAATCTGAGGAGGCTGAAGCCCTGATATAAAATGGTGTAGTATTTGCATTTAAGCTGTGTACATCTTCCTACATACTTTAAATCACCTCTAGATTACTTATGATACCTAATACAATGTAAATGGCTTATAAATGGCTGTTATACCGTATTGCTTTTTAAATTTATATTATTCTTTAATATTTTCAATCTATGGTTGGTTGAATCTGGATTCAGAATCCTTGGATACAGAGGACTGATTGCATTTTCTTTCTTTAAGGTCTCACCCTGATTTCCCTTTATATTGCAAAAGAGAATGTTCATGTATTCACTGTGAAATAACTAAGTCTGGAGCAGAGGATATTTTCCTCTTAAAAACAAAATTATAGATGTTTTCATTTTCACATCAGTGA